CCCGCCGCGCGCGAATCTCGCGAGATCCCGCCGCTCCGCCCCGCGGCCGGTCGAGCGGCCGACAGGAGAGGCCTGGGAGCCGCGGGCGCCCTCTGTTGGCCGCCCCGGCAGCGCACCCGGGCCTTCGCTGGCCTCTCGGAGGCTCCAGCCCACAAGCGGGGGCTCTGGGAGCAGCCGCCTGGGAGACACTTCGCCAGGCCGTCCCACCGAGGGCCCCATTTACATTATGCAAAAGCCCCACTCTGGCCTCCTCCAGAGAGAAAATCAGATCTCCTGCCCCGAGACCGCGGCCACCTCTCCGGAAATCCACCTGGGATTTTTTTTCTCCTGCAGAAAAAGCTTCAGGTTTGGTGGTTTAAACAAAACCGATCCTATTTGCATACCCTCTGTTTGCATGCGTTTGTCTTTGGGCTGAAGCCGAACTCAACGATGATGCACTCAGAATTTCAGTATCAGAAAACTGAGGGCTTGGGGGAGATCAACTCAAAGCCACTAGGTCTCATTCGGTAAACTGAGGCCCAGGTAAAAGGTTCTAAAACCCACAACTCCCTGATAGCAACCCTCCACACCCTGTCCCTCAGGGCCCCCAGAGAAGCTGTGTCCCTGCCTTCCTCTGACCCCCAGAAATACCAGGGCTCCCTTCCTGAGCCAGGTGAAGCCACAGGCACCAGAGCAAAGACAGAACCCACAACCGTCCAGAGGAAGGGTCAGTGGGTTCTGCCTGGTTTGCATCTGTGCCTTCACCCTGCCCAGTTCCTGAGTAGGACCGCAGGCCCGGAAGGCCAAGGCAAACAGCCCAGTTCCTCCTACTGGGCTCCAGTCCCACCCCTTTCATAGGCATGAAGTTGGGAAGCATCTGGGCAGCTGCCTCTATTCTATTTAAGCAGCCCAACCTGGTCAGAGGGCACTGCCTGGCCATGCCGGGCACAGGCCTGTCTGGCCAGCATGTTACTCCAGGCAGCTCACCTGGTCAGCCTACAGCTGTCCCTTTCCTGCTGCTGGGCTTTCAGCTGCCACAGCACGGAGTCCTCTCCGGACTTCAGCCTGCCTGGGGATTACCTCCTTGCAGGCCTGTTCCCTCTCCACGACGACTGTCTGGAGGCGAGACAAAGACCCGTGGTGACCCTCTGTGACAGGTGAGTGAGGGGTCAGTGGAGCTGTCACTTAGTGGGACCTGTGCCTAATGGACCTCTGCCTGCCCTCCTCAGCCAGGACCTTGCCCTTTCTGCCTCTGGGGTTGCCACTTGAACTGCCTCCAATCCCTCCCCAACCTAGGCTGCCACCTTCAAGTCCTGGGGCTTCTGCCCAGATTCCACTTTGGAATGCAGTCTTTGGTCCTGGCTGTTAGGGTGCTTTGTATTATACTTCCATTCCAGTTATTTCCTGGCCTTGAGGCAGCAAGGATTAAGCAAGGGTGGCCTTTCTCCTCTTCCAACTCCTCCCCACTCCTCCCCAAGTTCAAACTCCTTAGTCTCCCAGATGGCAAATGGGGTTCTCCATGGGGAGGGAAGGGGAGACACATAGCAGTAGATGCTTCAGGAGCTTAGCAGAGATCAATTAGGTTGGTGCTTTCATGAAACCGACAGTCTAGGTAGAGAAAAACAATTGCTTTTCTTGTAAAGAAGATAGTTGCTTGCCATCTGTGCAAGTCACAGATTTGAGAGGCTCGAGGATGTATCAGGGCTCAGTGGCAGGATGCCCTAAACATGAAGCACACGTGACAGCTGGCCCAGGAGGAAGATTCTGGAAAGCCTGGCGCATCAGGACTGGCCCAAAGAGGTGCAGATGGGAGCTTGGGAAGAGAAGACTTGGGGGAGGAGGAGACCTGAAAACCAGCTTCAGATACATGAAGGGCTGTCATGGGCGGAGGCCCTGAGCTTCCTCTGAGTGACTCAAGGACAGAAGTGACAGAAACGATGGAAGAGCCTTCTAACAAGCAGAAAGGCTGGAAGGTGGAAGGGGCTAGTACGCTCTTCAGGCAGGGCTGAATCACATCCCCAGCACACCCGTTTGAGTGCAGCCAGCAGTTCCCAAAGTAGGCAATGAGGAACATAGGCCCTCACCCCAGTCACGAGTGTCCCAGTGAGAAGCACTAAACAAAGTCAAGCAGATGTGGTGGTTAATTTTATGTGCCAGCTTGGCTAGGTACGGTGCCCAGCTGTTTGGTCAAACACCAGTCTGCTGTGAAGGTATTTTTATTTTTATTTTATTTTTCCACCAAAGCCCCAGTAGATAGTTGTATGTCATAGCTGCACATCCTTCTAGTTGCTGTATGTGGGACGCGGCCTCAGCATGGCCGGAGAAGCTGTGCGTCGGTGCGCACCTGGGATCCGAACCAGGGCTGCCAGCAGTGGAGCGTGTGCACTTAACCACTAAGCCACGAGGCTGGCCCTAAAGGTATTTTTAGATAACATTTAAATCAATAGACTGAGTAAAGCAGATTGCCCTCCATAATGTGGGTGGGCCTCATTCAATCAGTTGAAGACCTTAAGAGAAAAGATTGAGGTCCTTGGAAAAGGAAGGAATTCTGCCTTCAGACTCAAGACTGCAACATAAACTCTTGCGGGAATTTCCAGCCTGCCCTGCAAATTTTGGACTTGCCAGCCCCCACAATTATGTGAGCCAATTCCTTAAAATAAACCTCTCTCTCCCTCTCTCTCTATATATATACATATATATGTCTTCTATTGGTTCTGTTTCTCTGGAGAACACTAAGACATCAGGTTTCTCTGCTGTAAGATTTGTGAGCCTTTCAAGTCTAATATGCTTATGGAGCAGGGTTGGGCCAGGGTATGTGCATTTCTCCAATTTGTTCCCCACCTCTCTGAAGGCCTGTTAACAGAACGGTGTGTGTGCTACAGGGCCCACATTGAGGTCATGGTTGTAGGGGACTGGACAGATGACCTCAGAGGTTCCTTTCTACCCCCTCAAGCCTGGGGTTCTAGGAGGCCAGAGGGTCTCAGCAGGACTTGGCTTTTCCTACAGGTCCCACAGTTTCAACAGCCACAGCTACCACCTCTTCCAGGCCATGCGGTTCGCCACTGAGGAAATAAACAACTCCACGGCCCTGCTGCCCAATGTCACCCTGGGGTACCAGCTGTATGACGTGTGCTCGGAGTCAGCCAATGTGTATGCCACACTGAGCATACTCAGCATGCCAGGGACACACGGCATAGAGATCCAAGGAGACCCTTTCCACTATTCCCCCACAGCCGTGGCCATGATTGGGCCTGACAACACCGACCATGCCACCACCGCCGCTGGCCTATTGAGCCCCTTCCTGGTGCCCCTGGTAAGCTGGAGCCCCAGCAGTTTGCCCATCTCCCCTCCTGGCCAGTCCAGTGTGGGCTAGGGCGAGTGGGCAGGAGCTGCTGTGCCCCAAGGCCAGTCTGGCCCCTGGGATCTCCTGGGTGGTCACTGCTCTTTAGTCATATGTGATCCCTGCCCCAGCATCCCTCCCTATCCAAGTGCTGCTTCCAGAACGCCCTGCCTCAAGGCTCATGGGAAAACCCATTCTCCTTTGAAACTTCTGCCCTTCACTCTTCTCCCACTGTTCCATCTCCTTGTGAAGAACTGAACACCCTTTGTGTCCCAGCACCTCTCCCCGGCTCTCCTCCTTCCCTTCCTCCCTCCCTTCAGGCTCAGGCTCAGAGGTGTGGAGTCCTTCACTGTGCTGAGGCCAGTCCTGTCCCTGGGGGCTCGCCCCCTCCTCTGCTTGTTCCTCTCCCCAGGCTCCCTCCTCAGCCTCTAAGCCTGCCTTACCCTCTCTCCCTTCCAGGCACATCTACTCTCGGCGCTGTACTCTCTTGGCCCCTTTCCATCGAGACTTCTCCACAGAGTTCTCTATCCTTGTTTGCTTCTCCCTCTTTTCATTTGCTCAACTCACTGCCCTGGATTCTGTCTCTCCGGTCTTGTTCTTGCCGGGATCTGGAGGGCCTTCTAGGTCTCCAAATCCAATGAATGCTTTTCAGCCCTCTTTACCTTACATGACCACTTCGTGACATTTCTGGCCAGTCCTTCTGTGACACTTTTTGTCTGCACTTATGATCCTCCTTCACTGTGGCACCTCTTTCTCAGTCTCTGGTAGAGATTTCTCTTCCCCTCCTCCTGAGAAGGCAGGTGATCCCCCAGAGAGACCTCTCCCATTCGCAGGTGGCCACCAGCCCCACGGCTGGACTTCCCCTCTCTAGCTTCATTCTAACTTCTGAGCGCCAAGCCTCATTTCCAGATGCTCACCCAGTGTCTCCACTTCATGGACCCAGTAGGCCCCAACTGAACTTATCTCTCTACACTGCCAAAGCCTCCATTCTCCCTGCATCCCCATCCCAGCCCAGATGCTGAGAAACGCTCTCTCCCTACATTCCTCCTTCCCATGCCTCTGTGTTTAGCCAGCACCATGGCCTCTGCTTTTACCTTCTAAATGCTGCCAGGTCCATCCGCTCTTCTCCATCACCACTGCCACAGCTTTAACTCAAACCACCACCATCTCTTGTCTAGATGATTCCATCAGCCTCCTAGGGGTTCTTCCTGACTCTCATCTTGAGCCTTTTCTGACATGTTCCTCACTGAGATCAGAGGATCTAAAACTCCTAAAATACAAATCTGAACATGTCAGTTCTCTGCCTAAACCCTTAGGGGCTCCCCTTGACCCACGGATAAAGACCAAGCCCCTTGGCGTGAGAGTTAAGGCCTCCTGCCCTGACCAGACACAGCTCCTCCTGCTCTCCTTCCTCCCGGCATCCAACCTCCAGCCGAGTGGAAGTGCCTATAAGACCCCGGAGCACACAACACCACTTCACTCCCTGCAGGCAGGTTTTGTCCTTTGTACACCAGGCAGATTCCCATTCCTCTCCCAGAAGCCTTGCCTGGGGGCCTGCCCTCTTCTCCGTATGTAACTTGTCAGTCTCATATGTTGAGTAGCGCTCTCCTTGAGAACCAGGGTCAGGGCCTTGTCTCCGTCGTCCCCGTGTCCTGCACCCAGCACAGGGCTGGCACTAGGGGGCCCTCACTCGAGGCTGATGCCACTGACCTCGCTGAACTGAACCCCTACAGATCAGCTACAAGGCAAGCAGCGTGACGCTCGGTGTGAAGCGGCAATACCCCTCTTTTCTGCGCACAATCCCCAGTGATAAGTACCAGGTGGAGACCATGGTGCTGCTACTGCAGAGGTTCGGGTGGGTCTGGATCTCGCTGGTGGGCAGTGACGGCGCGTACGGGCAGCTGGCGGTGCAGGCGCTGGAGACCCAGGCTACCCAGCAGGGCATCTGCATTGCCTTTAAGGGCATCGTGCCCTCTTCTGCACAGCCGGGTGATGAGAGTATGAGGAACATGACGAGCGACCTGGCCCAGGCAAAGACCACCGTCGTGGTCGTCTTTGCCAGCAGGCAGCTGGCCAGGGTGTTCTTTGAGTCTGTGGTGCTGGCCAACCTGACTGGCAAGGTGTGGATCGCCTCAGAAGACTGGGCCATCTCCACACACCTAAGCAGCGTGCCCGGGATCTGGGGCATTGGCACAGTGCTGGGTGTGGCCATCCAGCAGAAGATTGTCCCTGGTCTGAAGGAGTTTGAGGAGGCCTATGTCCGGGCAGACAAAGGGGTCTGGGGTTCTTGCCCCAGCGGCTCCGGGTGCAGCAGCAACCAGCTCTGCAGAGAGTGCCAGGCTTTCACGGCACAGGAGATGCCCAGACTTGGAGCGTTCTCCATGAGCTCTTCCTACAACGTATACCAGGCTGTCTACGCCGTGGCTCATGGCCTCCACCAGCTCCTGGGCTGTGCCTCGGGAGCCTGTTCCAGGGGCCAAGTCTACCCCTGGCAGGTAAGGCAGCCCAGCTCCTGGCACCCCATATCAGGGTGCTTTCCTGAGGCAAGCAGAGTGACTACTCTCTGGCCACCCTAAGAGCTGGGGCTCAGGGGCAAAGGCCACTAACTAGAGGGCTGATCCCTTCTCTTAGGTTTCTCTTCTCTGAACCTTGGCCCCTCCCACCCACCATGCCTTGGATCCATGGCTAAAAATCTCTGTAAATTCAGGAGGCTGGTTGGGAGGGTCGAGGGGTCTCCTAGGAGGGAAGGGAGCTCTTAGGAAGGGACCGGACCAGAACTTCTAGATGGGCTGAAACCACCCAGATAGAAGCCCAGCAAGGCCCCAGGTACTTGCTTCCTGGGCTGTCCAGGTCCGGAGGGTCAAGGAGGAGCAGCCTGTGTCATCTACGGTGGTGATCTCTGTTTGTTTCAGCTTCTGGAGCAGATCCGCAAGGTGAATTTCCTTCTACATGAGGACACTGTGACGTTTGATGACAACGGGGACCCCCTCAGTGGCTATGACATAATTGCCTGGGACTGGAGTGGCCCCGAGTGGACCTTCCAGGTCATTGGCTCCTCCACATGGTCTCCAGTTTGGCTGGACATAAATAAGACCAAAATCCAGTGGCATGGAAAGGACAACCAGGTAATGGGGATGTGGTCATTAACCAGGTGACAGCCTTATGGGCAGCCTGGATCCTGGGGTTGGTGCTGACACAGCTTACACAGGGCAGGAGCGGGGCTCCCAGGTACCAGGCTGCTATGGCTCTACCCAGCCCTGCCAGGAAAGCTCCACTGGCTAGCAGATGGAGGCCCTGTTGCTGCTGGTTCAGCCAACCAGGGGCTCTGCCCTGGGAGTGAGCCAGGAGGGCAGATGTACAGAGATTCTGTTTTCCATTCCCATGTGCACGTCCCTTGACTTGGGCCCTTCCATGTGGTTGCAAAGCACCTGTGGCTTCTTGCAGGTACCTACATCTGTGTGCTCCAGCGACTGCCTTGAAGGGCACGCACGAGTGATTGTGGGTGGCCACCACTGTTGCTTCAAGTGTGTGCCCTGTGAGGCTGGGACCTTCCTCAACAAGAGTGGTGAGTGGCGAAGCAAGTGGGTGCATGACCTGGAACTCCTAGAGTCTGTGTAGATGAAAGGACCTGCCTCGGGCCACATGTGTGCAGAACCAGGGCCCCAGTCACGTTGCTGCCAGTTAGGTGCAGGTTGGAGGATACTGGCCACCAGACTGAATTCTGATCAAGCAGAAAGAAACAACCAGTTGAAAGCCTCAGATCTAGCTGTGTCCTTTATTAGAGAGCTCCCAACCCAACTCCTACAGATGCAATCTTATCCTAAATTCAACCTCTTTATGCAAACAGATGTAGCTGTCATTCCCTTTGTACCCTCCCACGCTGTCTGTATGAAGTCCCTCTATTGTCCATGCCCAAGACAGCCAGCACCTTGGACAGTTGGCCTGAATGCAGATACTAGCATGTCTGTAGCAGAAAAAAACAGCATACACCACCCAGTGGTGCGAGGTCAAGATCAGAGAGCAAATTGGGTAGCTAAGGGCTCAATCCAGAGCTAGACTCCAGGAGCCACATTCTTTCCTTTTACTGTCTCTGCGGACATGGGACTGCATCTCTTCTGTCCTCAGAGAGTCAAGACTCAGAGAAACCAAAGAGTGGCAGCTCAGGAAGGTGGGTTTGGTTAGTGGAAGTGCTGGAGAGAGAGAGGAAAATGCCCTTCCTTTGGGGCTGGCTGCTCCCATTGAATCACAGCCTCACTGGCATGTGGGCAGAGCTACCAGAGTAAGGTCCTCCTTGGTTTGCAAACCTCTTCTGGGATCATGAGCCATACAGAACCTACTTGTGCTTCTCCAGAATCTGTAATTAACACAGGCATCTTTAGGAAACACGCGGCCTTGGGGCCCAACTCAGGGCTATACCCATTTCGCTATGCCCGGCAGAGCCCAGCTCCTATGGTACAGCCTTCCCAGCACCTTGCAGGCCTGCATGGCCTCTCTTCCCCATTCCTGCTCTGCTTACCTGGATCTGAGGAGCCCTCTTCGCCTTCCTTTCCAGACCCCCACAGATGCCACCCTTGTGGGAAAGAAGAGTGGGCACCGAAGAGAAGCCAGACTTGCTTCCCACGCACTGTGGTGTTTTTGACTTGGCATGAGCCTGTCTCTTGGGTACTGTTGGCAGCTAATACGCTGCTGCTGGTGGTGGTGGTTGGGACTGCTGGCCTGTTTGCCTGGCATCTAGACACCCCTGTGGTGAGGTCGGCTGGGGGCAAGCTGTGCTTCCTCATGCTGAGCTCCCTGGCAGGGGGCAGCTGCGGCCTCTATGGCTTCTTTGGTGAGCCCACGCTACCCATGTGCTTGCTACGCCAGGCCCTCTCTTCTCTCGGTCTTGCCATCTTCCTGTCCTGCCTGACAATCCGCTCCTTCCAACTGGTCTTCATCTTCAAGTTTTCTGCCAAGCAACCCACGTTTTACCGTGCCTGGGTCCAACACCGTGGTGCTGGCCTGTTTGTGGTGATCAGTTCAACGGCCCAGCTGCTTATCTGCCTAACCTGGCTTGTGGTGTGGACCCCACTGCCCACCAGGGAATACCAGCACGGCCCTCAGCTGGTGGTGCTTGACTGCGCAGGGGCCAAGTCACTAGGCTTCACGCTGACTGTCCTCTACAATAGCCTCCTCTCGGTCAGCACCTTTGCTTGCAGCTACCTAGGCAAGGACCTGCCAGAGAACTACAACGAGGCCAAATGTGTCACCTTCAGCCTGCTCCTCAACTTCGTGTCCTGGATCGCCTTCTTCACCACGGCCAGCGTCTACCAGGGCAAGTACCTGCCGGCGGTCAACATGCTGGCCGCGCTGAGCTGCCTGAGCAGCGGCTTCAGCGGTTATTTCCTGCCCAAGTGCTATGTGATCCTCTGCCGCCCAGAACTCAACAGCACGGAGTACTTCCAGGCCTCCATCCAGGACTACACCAGGCGCTGCGGCTCCACCTGAACCGCGGGGTCGGGCAGGGCTCAGCCGGGGCGGGGCGCACTGGAAGCCTCCCCTGCCCTGCGGGTCGAAAGTGGAGCGGGGCGCGCAGGGTCTGGGGTGTCGGAGAGGTCTCTGAGCTCCTCAGTTTCGGCTGGGGAAGAGTAAGCCCACGGGAGAGCACAGGCCGGGCTCTGGGCTGCCAATAAAGAGGTGAAACGTGCGTCTGCGTCTTGGCTGCGCTTCCTGCCAGAGCGAGGGTGGGGCGCGCCGGGGCTGGCTAACCGCAGCCGAAACCTCGGGACGCGACCAGAGCCCGGCGAAGACCCGGCCCCCAGCTTGGCGTTGCTAGGCAACTCTGGGAGGCGACCCCAGCGATCAGAGAACTGGCTTGGCCACGCCCCTTTAAGCATCCCATTGGCCGTTCTCTGCGTGGTCCCGCCCCCGGGGGCCGGAGCTAGAAGCTCCGCGACTCCGGGGAGCTCCACCCCGGCCGGCGCGCCCTGACGTCACGTCCGGCGGCGGCGACGGCGGCGTTTCCGTACGGTCGGCCGAGCACGTACGGCCTGGGCTGTTGGTTCGTAGGGCTGTGGAGGCGACGCGGCCCGGGGCCGGGCACAAGGAGGACCGGCCCGGGTGAGGAGGTTGTGGGGCGCGGGGCGAGGGAGGGAGGGGCTGCGGGCCGCCGCGGCCGCCTTCCGCCCGGCTGCTCGGACATGTGGGCGCGGCGTGGGCTCCTCTTACCTGTCCGCAGCCGCCACCCTCCCCGCCCCGGGATCTTTCGCTGTTCCAGGCCGAGCAGTTCGCGCGGATCCCCCGCCTCTTTTCCCCAACTTTGATTCCTCCCACCAGCACCCCTTCACGACCCTGTCCTATCCCCGCCAAGCCATGTCTCCTCCCCCCACCTAGTCCGCCTGAGCCCCTGCCACCCGCTCTCTGGCCAACCTCAATGGGGGCTGCTCCCCTGGCCCCCGCCCTCTAGAGAGGCTTTCACTCCTTTCCTGTCTCGGCATGCACCCTCTAACCTTGACCCAAGCCCGCCTTGTGATCAGTATGACTGTTTGAGTAGAGTCCACCTCCCCTTTCCCTCTTCTCAAATCCAGGGGCTTTCTCTTGCTACCCCGCGGTTGTGCTGGCCAGGGTGTCACTTCTGCCGTCCTCCCCTCCAGACAGACCATGGACGGCTCCTTCGTCCAGCACAGTGTGAGGGTTCTGCAGGAGCTCAACAAGCAGCGGGAGAAGGGCCAGTACTGCGATGCCACCCTGGACGTGGGGGGCCTGGTGTTCAAGGCACACTGGAGTGTCCTTGCCTGCTGCAGCCACTTTTTCCAGAGCCTCTACGGGGATGGCTCAGGGGGCAGTGTTGTCCTCCCTGCCGGCTTCGCTGAGATCTTTGGCCTCCTGTTGGACTTTTTCTACACTGGTCACCTTGCCCTCACCTCAGGGAACCGGGATCAGGTGCTCCTGGCAGCCAGGGAGTTGCGAGTACCAGACGCTGTGGAGCTATGCCAGAGCTTCAAGCCCAAAACTTCAGTGGGACAGGCACCAAGTAGCCAGAGTGGGTTGGGGAAACCTGCCCCCAGGGATGTGAACAGCCACCCCAAAGAGCCAGCAGGCTTGGAGGAAGAGGAAGTTTTGAGGACTCTAGGTCAAATCTCCAGGGATCAGGAGCTCAGTGACAGTCACAGTCCCCAGAGGCCCCAGCTTGGTCTTCCTGCTCAGAGTGAGAGTCCCTCCTTCCTCCGTGGGAAACTCAAGCAGGCCCTGAAGCTTTGTTCCCCAGAGGACAAGGAGCCTGAGGATTGCAAGGTGCCCCCAAGGCCCTTCGAGGCTGAAGGTGCCCAGCTGCAGGGCGGGAGTAATGAGGTACTGTGCCCAGGGGGCTGGAAAAGTGGAGGCAGGGGTTGGGGGAAGAGACTGACATTTTTCTGGGATAATCTGAACCCCAAGGTAAAATCTCTGTTATGTGGGTTTGGAACAGGTTTTCTCCAAACATAGGAGGCCGGCTCTATCCTGTAGCCTCAGGTTGACTTTCTGCGAGTCACAGCTGTCCATGGTTGCCAGCTTCTTGGGGTGTAGTGTGTGGCATCAGGGTTACAGGTGTTTCCAGGGTAGTGAAATCCAGTCAGATTTCCAGTTCACGCAGAACAGAGCTACTGCTCTCCAAATCCACAATTCGAATGCTGCCTGCTCTGGGACCCTGAAGGGAACAGTCACTGATGAAGGGGGTTGTCTGGGGATGTGCCTGGGATGGGCCTTGGGATGGAACTGGATGGAGCTGGCTGCCCTGTAGATCCATCCCCAGAACCCCTGCTGACTAATTTAGTGACCTCGCCCCCTCATGCTCCCTCTTTTGCTCTAGTGGGAAGTGGTGGTTCAAGTTGAGGACGATGGGGATGGCGGTGACGTTTCTGAGACTGAGACTATGCCGACCAGGAGGAAATCAAACGTAATGAGAAAGCCCTGTGCTGCCGAGCCAGCCCTGAGTGCAGGTTCCCTAGCAGCTGAAGCCTCTGAGAACAGAAAAGGTACAGCGGTGCCGGTTGAATGTCCCACATGTCATAAAAAGTTCCTCAGCAAATATTATCTAAAAGTCCACAACAGGTAAACGTTCTGTTTTTCTATTTTCTTTTCCCGTCTGCTGTTCCCATGTCGGGGGAGGGGGCCTGCCCTCCCCACTTCTGGGCCATGTAGGGGCTGGGGGCTCCATCTCAGATCCACGGAGTGCCTGGCGTTGGCAAGCCTCTGATCATCAGGGAGTGAGAACCTAGCCTTGGGTCGGATTCCTTCTTCCTCCTCCTACTGTGAGCCCCCTGGTGGGTTGGTGGACACCCTGTCAACAGGTTCCACCCACTGTGGACCTTGACCTCCCGATGGCTTCTGCGAAGAGGGTGAGAGAAGCCTGTGGCCATGTGCTGTGGCTGAGGCCTGACCTTCGGTATTTCTAAAGCCTGACAGTGTGGGCTTTGGATCTTTAGGGTTGGTGCCGCTTGTGTTTCTGGGGAAATGTTAGCTCCGGGGTGTAAGTGGAGCTTAAGAGACCATTTGTCAAAGCTGCAGTGTCTAATAAAGTAACCTGATGCCACATAAAGCTATTTTACATAAAAAAAAGTAATTGAAATAAAGTCAGTTCCTCAGGTGCATTAGCCACAATTCAAGTGCTCAGTAGCCACACTTGCTGCCGAATCAGATAGCAGAGACAGAACATTTCCATCATCACAGAGCGTTCTCTTGGACAGTGCTGCTCCAGAGTCTCTGCAAGGCCTCCAGGGATGGCAGCTAAGTGACACGCTTTCCAGTCCTGTCACTCCCTAGCCTAAGACATCACTAGTCCGCCATGGTGCGATTTCTTGCCAAGCCACGTTGGGCCGCACACGTTTTCTCAGTTATGACACTCTGGGAAGCCACTAGTGACCTATTGGAGTAAGAGCTGAGGGGCGAGCCTGTTTGCCCTCCCTGCTTTGGGGCAGCTGCCACCAGTGGAATCTTTGGGGCAGTCCCAGTGTGGGAGGCACCCTGGGGTGTCTGCGTCTACCTGGATGCTGTCCCAGTGTCAGAGTCGAGTGCAGGCACCATTGCCATCCCTACCTTGGGCTGCAGGCTGTTGGACTGGCCCTGAGCATGGGGGGAGAGGGGGAGACAGACAGATGGACTACACAGACGATGATGACATGGGATGGGGACACAGCCTCATGAGGTCATTGGGATGGGAGATGAGGACAGTTGATGTTAGGGACGAGGATGAGAGAAGCATCTGGGCTCATGGGCTCTGAGGTCAGGGTTCATTTGGTTTATTCATTCAGTGAGCTGTCTGCCAGGTAGCTGACCAGTGTGTTCTGGGTGCTTGGGATACCTTAGTGAACAAAACCAAGAGGCCTTGTGGGGCTTGCGTCCAGCAGGGTGATGCAGACTGCGAACTAACAAATAAGTAACTTTACAGTGTGGTGGAAGGTGGGAAGTGCCACAGAAAAAAGAAAAAGGATAGGAGTACCAAGGGGTTGGGGAGTTCAGAGTGGGCTCAGGTTGCAATTTTAAAGAAAAGAGATTTGAGACTCAAAGGAGGTGAGGAAGTTCACCGAGTGGATGGGTGGGAGAGCATTCTGGGCTGAGAGAAGACCAGAGCAGAGGCTCTGGGGTGGGAGTGAGCTGGCAGGTTGGTGAACAGCAAGGCAGGGAGACCTGGGGAGGGAGGCCAGTGAGGTAAGGGGCAGGCCAGCTATACCCTTGTAGTCCCCAGGCGTTTTCTTGGGTGAAGTGGGAAGCATGGAAGGTTGTAAGCAAAGAAGTGATGAGATGTGACTGTATTTAAGGGGCCCTCTGGCTACTGAAGTTAAAACCTGTCAGGAGGCAGGTGGGGACCGTGAGACCAGGTAGGAGGCTCAGGTGGCAGCCCAGGGGATGGAGTGGCCCTCTAGGTGGTACCATGGAGATGAGGTGAAGTGGTCAGATTCTGGCAACGGTTTTGAAGGTAGAGCCTGCAGAAGTTCTGGGCAGACTGAGTGGTTTCTATAGGGAGTCAGAACCCAGAGATTGTTTTCTGCCTTCAGCGAGATGCCAGCTAGCCGTGCCTCCCCATTGGCCTGTGTGGCAGTCAGCAGAGGCAGGGCTCCAGGGCAGCCCCTTGGGCATGGAGCTGTGAGGGCTCTGGCCCCGGCACTCTCCCTTGCAGTCTCCACACGGGAGGAGGGTTTCTGGGCTCGCGCCTGCAGGTTCACCAGCCGGGTTTGATCGAGCCACGTGGTGAGCCACGGCTGGCCTCAGGACCGCTCTTTCTCTCTGCTGTGGAGCACAGTACTGTGGGCAGGGGAGCCAGAGGGGCCACTGGATGAGGGAGAGGCAAGAAGTCCGCTCAGCTCCCACACCCGCTATGGCTTCTCCTGGCAGGAAACACACTGGGGAGAAACCTTTCGAGTGTCCCAAATGTGGAAAGTGTTACTTTCGGAAGGAGAACCTCCTGGAGCATGAAGCCCGGAATTGTATGAACCGTTCAGAACAGGTACTTGTGGGCTGGCCCAGGTCCTTGTGGGCAGGGGCATGCTGGCCTCTGTCTTCCTGCCACCCGAGAGGGGCCCCAAGGACACTGTCTTAGATGGCACTGTAAATTCAAGAGAGCTGGATGCCAGAGTCCACTCCTTGGTCGTTACAGGTGGGGACACAGTTCCCAAGGGCAGAAAGGATAAGCCTAGGAGGGACTTTGAGGGAGGCGTTTTGGGTTTACCCACCCAGGCCCTTGGGCTTTGGAGAAGGGGTGCCTCAACAGGGACATGGCTGCTGGGAGGGGCCACCTGGCCACCTCCCCTCACTCCACTGGCCGGCCCATGTGGTGGGGCCAGCAAAACCCTGCCTTTCTCTTCCTAGAGGCCTGTCACGGGGGAGGATGAGGGCTGCTGGTGAGGCCACTCTGCCCCTGCCCCAGCCTGTCAGGCCTGAGAAGGGCCTGGTGTGGTGGGTTTGTAGTGCTCAGCGATGGTCAGGGTCAGGGCAGGCAGGTTACGTGTTGCCCTCTCCCACCCTAGCGTCCCCCCCCTCGGGCAGACTCCTCCCAGCAGCGAGTGGAAGCCCGGGCAGAGGCTGCCGTCGCAGGCAGAAGCCCCCCCTGATGCCGGCCCTGCTTGCCCCTCACACTGCCAGGTCTTCACGTGCTCTGTGTGCCAGGAGACCTTCCGCCGGAGGATGGAGCTGCGGGTGCACATGGTGTCCCACACGGGGGAGATGCCCTACAAGGTCAGGCTCAGCCTGTCCCCAGGGCCATGGGCTGAGGGGCAGCCCCAGGATCCCTCCCGCCGAGCCCTTTACATCAGATTGTGTCAGGCGCCTCCCCCTTGCCAGTCAATGAGCCCAGCCTTCCCTACCCATCCAGTGCTCCCATACCTTCCTTTGGACAGGGCCACTGGCCCTTTTTGGGTCCTTGTTTCTTTCCATGGAGGGCAGGCTCAGTATCTGTGTGGGCATGGCACTGGGGGCCCTCCCTGGCATGTCCTTCACAGCAGGTCAAGGAGCCTCGCAGCATCTCAGTCTGGGCCGTGCCCTTGGGTTCCCACCCCAACAGCCTGGGGGGCCAGGGTTCCGTTGGTACGGGCTGCCTCAGAGGTGACTATGGGCCTCTTTTTCAGTGTTCCTCCTGCTCCCAGCAGTTCATGCAGAAAAAGGACTTGCAGAGCCACATGATCAAGCTGCACGGAGCCCCCAAGCCCCACGCCGTAAGTGCCAGGCTGTGCTGAGAGCTGGGGCCGGGCATGTTCTCATGCTGGGAACTAGCAGGCGTAAGGCGGCTGTAGCTGTGTCCAGAATGGGCAGGCTGTGCAGTTTCTGCCGTGTGGGGGGGGCCAGGGGGGTCTGTGGGGCTCTCGGGGCAGCCTCGCTCTGTCTTCACCCTGGTCTTGCTCCCTCTGCCCATCCCCTCTGCCCCACAGTGTCCCACCTGTGCCAAGTGCTTCCTGTCCCGAACAGAACTGCAGCTGCATGAGGCTTTCAAGCACCGCGGGGAGAAGCTGTTTGTGTGCGAGGAGTGCGGGCACCGGGCCTCGAGCCGAAATGGCCTGCAGATGCACATCAAGGCCAAGCACAGGTGGGAGTTGGCCCGTCTTGCCCCAGGGCCTGGCCCTGCTGCCGGCTCCAGGCCAGCAAGTGGGCTGGGAAGGCAGAGTTTGCTGACGCTCACACGGAACAGAGCGCCCTCCACCCTGAGGCTGGCGCCTGTGGCCTTACTGGGTGGGGGTACATGAGGGATGAGCAAGTTTGTCAGGCAGAGAGGCTGAGGGAGGGGGTTTCTGGCTAAAACAAGGCTCTGTACCTCCCTGGGCAGATTCTTAGTTTCCTGTGGCTCCCGGGATGGAGCTGGTGCCCCTTTCCTGGTACTGCCCAAGCCCTCCTTCCACCAGGCAGCTCATCGCAGCCTGGGCCTGTACCAGTGGCTCTGGCAGGCTTGCTTTAGCCTTGCCTGTTTCCTTGGCTCTGGGGCCAGGCATGCTCCCAGCTGCAGTTGGTGATGGCTTCTGCCTGTGTCCTCCATCTGGACAGGAACGAGAGGCCGTATGTCTGTGAGTTCTGCAGCCACGCCTTCACCCAGAAGGCCAATCTCAACATGCACCTGCGCACACACACAGGCGAGAAGCCCTTCCAGTGCCACCTCTGTGGCAAGACCTTCCGCACCCAAGGTGAGGCAGGCCCGTCCCCTCCCTGTCCTGGGGCCGAGGCCTAGTGGCTGAGCCCTCACCTTCTTCCCGCAGCCAGCCTGGACAAGCACAACCGCACCCACACCGGCGAGAGGCCCTTTAGCTGTGAGTTCTGCGAGCAGCGCTTCACTGAGAAGGGGCCCCTGCTGAGGCACGTGGCCAGCCGCCACCAGGAGGGCCGGCCCCACTTCTGCCAGATCTGTGGGAAGACCTTCAAAGGTACCTCGCTTGTGGAAGGCCGTCACCCCTCACCCTTCTCTGGGCAAGCCTTCGGGGGAGCAGTGGGCTGGCCGTTGCCTGCTGACCCGAGTTGGAGGGTCTCCCCCAGGAGAGGTCAGGTGCAGCAGTGGCTTTCATATGCTCTTGGGCAGAGGAACCTTCTTGCCAGCGAATCTCTTCCATTCCCCATGTGTCAAAGGCTTGAGGGGGGAGCTGCTTTGACTGAAGTGGAGGGGTGGAAACTCCCAAGGCACCTGTTCGGCAGTGACCTTGGGGTGGTGCTGTAGAGCCTGGCAGGGCCCTCCTCCCTGCAGTGCACAGCAGTTGCAAACCCCGAGGGCTGCCTCTCATCTTAGGGCATGGTCCCACCCACCTCCCCACCTGTCCTAATGCTGGGGGTCCCTTCCCTCCTGTAGCGGTGGAGCAGCTGCGTGTGCACGTCAGAAGGCACAAGGGGGTTAGGAAGTTTGAATGCACTGAATGTGGCTACAAGTTCACCCGGCAGGTAGGCTTGGAGCCTGGATTACCTCCTCTTGCCCCTTTGGGCCCGAGCCCCCCTACCTCCTAGGCTCTGCTCCACCAGCCCTGAGCCCCGCTCCCCCCTAGGCCCACCTGCGGAGGCACATGGAGATCCATGACCGGGTGGAGAACTACAACCCACGGCAGCGCAAGCTCCGGAACCTGGTCATTGAGGATGAGAAGATGGTGGTGGTGGCACTCCAGCCGCCTGCTGAGCTGGAGGTGGGCTCGGCTGAGGTCATCGTGGAGTCCCTGGCCCAGGGCGGCCTGGCCTCCCAGCTCACTGGCCAGAGACTATGTGCAGAGGAGAGCTTTGCAAGCCCGGGCGTCATGGAGCCCTCACTCATCATCACGGCTGCCATCCCTGAGGACTGTGACACGTAGCCCCCTGCCCACCACAGCCCACTTGGCCCCAGCCCCCAATAAACCACATGGCTTTGGACTTGATTGTTTCAGTCCATCCAGCAATCTATTCCCCAGTAACCTGGACTCCAGGGGTGTGCTGCTTTCCCGTGTCTTCTAGAAGAAATGGTGCCCTGCCTGATTCTTTGTGCACCTCAGAGGTCCGCCAGCAGCTTCCCTACCTTGTTAGGAGACCTCAGCAGAGTGAATCCTGGACAGGTAGCTTTAGGGGCCAAGCCTCTGGCCCAGGACACTCTCCTCATCTGTCTCCTGTCCCTCATTCTGTCAGCGTTTAGAACTGGCAGCAGTGGCCCGATAACAGTGGTAGTGTTTCTATTTCATAGTTATGGAGCTGCCGGCTAGTGGGGGTAGAATTCATTACTAAGCCTCTGGTGTCAAAACAGAGTGGCCAGGCCCCCCAGTGATGGCCTTGCTATCTCAAGTCTCAGGCCCCATTAGTGTGCAGCTGACATATCTTGGGGCCTGAGGAGGGTCGGACTTGTGGCTAAGCAAGCTCTGGACCCTGCTGGTGGCATGCCCGCAGACAGGACCCTTCCCTTGGGAGGGCCCTAGCTTGATTTGCTTGTCCAGGAGGCCTGGGGGGCAGGCGAGGCCAGGCCTAGAATAGCGACAGGCCCTGGTGGTTCCCAGGTTCTATGGCCACAGGGACTGTGGGGGGGGTGCTGTGTGTCTGAGAGTGTGTGTGGGCGCAGGAGGCTGACTGCCTACATCCAGATTCCTTCCAAACTCCTTATTTATAGCTGCGTGACCCAGGGCGAGTTACTAACCACTTCATTTCCTCATCTTTTAGTGGAATTAGTAACAGTACATGCTTCATTAAATGAGAAAGCCCACTGTTCCAGTTACCTACTGCTGGGTGATGAACCACCCCAGAATTTCCCTGGGGGCTGGGGGGCAGTTCTGTTCTCAAGATGGCTGACTCACGTGTCTGGCAAGTTAGCACGTTGGCTGTGGGCTTGGGTTCCTCTCCATGGGCTGCCTGGGCTTCCTCGCAGCATGGTGGCTGGGTGCCAAGAGCAAATGTCCCAACAGGCCAAAGCTGAAAGGCCTTTTTACAACCTAGCCCTGGAAGTCACATTGTGTCACCTTTGCTATGTTGTGTTGGTCCAGGCAGTCACCAAAATGTCACCCCCCAGATTCAAGGGGAGGGAACATAGACCCCTTTACTTCATGGGACGAGTGTCAAAGAATGTGCACACACTGGGGCCGCCCCGTGGCTTAGCGGTTAAGTGCGTGTGCTCCGCTACTGGCAGCCTGGGTTCGGATCCCGGGCGCGCACCAATGCACTGCTTCTCTGGTCATGTGGGGCCGTGTCCCACATACAGCAACTAGAAGGAGGTGCAACTATGACATACAACTATCTACTGGGGCTTTGGGGGAAAAAAAAAAAAGGAGGATTGGCAATAGATGTTAGCTCAGGGCCAGTCTTCCTCAGCAAAAAGAGGATTGGCATGGATGTTAGCTCAGGGCTGATCTTCCTCACAAAAACAAACAAAAAAAGAATCTGCACACACATTTTACAACTGCCCCAGACAGTAAGTGCTTCTGCTCAGTGTTTGGCATGGAGTGAACCCTGAGTCAGTGGTAGTGACAGTCGTGACCCCAAGAGCTTTAGTCCGGCACTACTTAAATCCCATCACTGGAGGATCCCGAAATAGCAGCCCCACGCTACACTGAATTCCTCCTGGAGTTTGAGGAGGAAAACTATCTTCTATTTTAGACCTAGAACCCATCTAACCGTCTCTCCTTTTATTCCCTGAGCACTGGGGAGCTCAGAGGTAAAGGCAGTATGCAAGTGCAGTAACTGACATGCAGGTTATGAGCTGCTTCAGATCCGTTTTGGCAAGGGTATTTAAAAGGCAAACTGGCCTCAAAATGCTCCCTTACCAGTCCAGGCACTGGCCTCACCCTTGGTTTCAGATGGGCTCTGCAGATGTGAGGGATGTTTTTAAGCTTCTTGTTTCTGAGTTCCTTTAAGGGCTCTACCTCCCCCAGGTCGAAGGTCCACTCACTACAGAGACAGGGATCTCATCACCATTGGGAGGACACCTTCAGGAGGAGGGGCTGGGGAGTGAGGCAGGGGGCAGAGCACCAAGAGATGGAGTCAGGGAGGCTGAAACCAGCTTGGGAGCAGCCAGTGAGGCATGGACGCAGCTGCCACATCCCTCACATCTCTCCAGCTCAGCCTCCTCTTCCCACTCCATCCGTTGTAGTGATCTGAGACGAGAAAGGGCCTGAGAGCTGTGGCCGCAAGACCGTTCCCTTGAGCCCCGGGCACTCCAGACTCTGCCCCCTTCCTTGCTAGCACAGGGACGACCCACACTGCTCTGCTCCCCTTGCCCCACACGCTTGGCCTCAAGACACAGAAGGCAGTGACACCAAGTGTATAGGAAATTTTTTTATTTCAAAAAGTATGTATTGAAGGCATCCTAAAACCTGAAACAGGATTTTGGACATGTAAGCCTACAGAACAAATAAATACGCAAATCTGCCCACCGCCTGGGGCTGGGACTGGATGTCGGACACTGGAGGAAGGTGGTGTCCTTTAGTACATAAAAGTTCTGAAGTCATAAATATAGATCCTTTATAGGAGTAGATCAGTATTAAATACTAGTCACTGAATTTTCATAACTTAATTTGTCTCGAGACTGATAAAGTTGTGTACATCCAACACGCAGAGACAGTCCCACCACCAGTTGGCCCCGCCTCTGCCCCCAAGTCAGTGTACAGACATCCTTAAGTGGCAGGGGCTTCACAGCCTAGAACCCGTGCCCAGGGGAAGCGGGGAGGGTAGGGAAGGGGAGCAGACATTTCTGGAGGGTCGTCCCTGATCTTGGACCCCCAGCTGCATCCTGGAGGGACCTGCTGTTGCCAAGGCTGCCGCCTTCCCTCATCCTTGGTCTTTTAAACCAAAGATGGGGTGTCCAGGTGATGGGGACCCAGGTAGTTCTAGAGAGTGAACATAGAGAAGGACGAAACCTGACCCTCTCTCGCCTTCACTGGCCCACACCAAACCAACCGTTATCTGAGAAGCCGCCAGACAGCGGGATGGTCAGTCATGTGGTGGCCAGTCATGGTGAAGTACCAAAAAGAGGAGAAAGAAGGGGGAACCCAGGACACTGGGCTCCTGCCACGAGGGGGGAGCTTCCACAAGGAAGGCCAGACAAAGGCTGGAGCCGGGGCTCTGGCCCGCAGTGCTGACCATAACCCCTGTGGTGGGCTCCAGAGGCTGGTTTTGTAAAAAAACAAGAAAGTGTTTGCAGCTCCCCTGTCCCAACACTAAAGCTTCACATGACACCTCTCCCCACAAGTCACTGCCCGTGGGAACTCCTGGACCTTGACAGAGCCACAACCCCACCCACCCACCTGGAGGGCGGGGAGAGGTCCAGTGACCGTCCGGCACACGTCCACTCTCTGCTCCCCATCCTGCCTTCTTGGGCTGCTGAGGGGGCCCTCTATGGAGACAGCCCCAAGGAAGGGCACCAGGCGTCTTTCCCATGAGATCACGGCCTACATCCTTCCTCTGGGAGACCCTCCCGGATTCCCTGTCACAGCAGTTATCGCAACATCTATCTGCGTGGCGTGTCCCCACACTGGGCAGGGCATAGTCATCTGGCACTGAGCTCTGTTTCTAGTACATAATCAGGTCTCCATCAATGCTGTGCAGCCCAGCCCTGCCCTGCCGTCCCCCTGCCACAGACAGGTGACAAGCCACGGTGCCTGGGAAGCCTCTGCCTGCAAAGGAACTGAAGACAGCCACCCCACCGGGCACGGTCAACCTCTGGGTGGGCTCAGCCTGCCAGGCAGGCACTTGGGCCAGAAAAAGGCCCCAGGAGCCCCTGGGGAGTGAAGTGAGGGCTGTGGAGAGGGAGCATTTAGGGCTGAGGGGGAGAAAGGCAGGCCGGCCCTGACTCACTGAGGGAGAACTAGATGAGGAGGAATGAAGGTGGAGACCTGGGGGAGGGTCCCCAAGGGAGCAGAGGGTCGAGCACCCACCTGGGCCAAGGCCTGGGGCACAAAGCAACAGCATCAGGCTGGCTGACCCCGAGATGCCCAGGCCCATGTTTCCCAGAGGCCTATAGGAGCCCACAGCAGGGCCTGACCAGTGGGGGAGCCCCACCACCCACCTCCAACAGTGCCTGGCACACAGTGAGGGCTCGGGCGAGCAATCACCCCCAGGGGATGGGAAGGGCTGGCTGTGAGCTGTGGCCACTCCAGCAGGGGTTCCAGGGCAAGATGTCTAATCCGACAGCAATGATACCACACCGGGGCTCTTCATGGGCACGAAGGGGGCAAGGCATGGGCTCTGCCCAAGAACCTGCAGGCCACAAGCCTTCCTCCCCAGAACCTGCGCCATCTGACCAATTTAAGGGCCTGAAGTGCCATTAGTGAAGTGCCAGTGCTGACGGTTTTTGTCCCGGTGAGAACACATCTCCAAGTTAGTTCCCAGGGAAAAGGCAACTCAATGAACATTTGCTTTCAACTTATCTAACAAGGAAAATGCCAACAGCCTCCTCTTCTCTGGACGAGAATGAAGACAAATTCAGACAAAGGCTACTTTGGGGAGCTGAAGGGGACAAGACCACCCAGTCCACAGAAACACTCACACTCCCCGGAGAAAACCGGGGACCCCAAGCTGCAGGGTTTCCTCGGAGCTCTCCTGCTGCCCTCCTGGAGCTGGCCCCTGGCCTTATGGCGTCCCCCCAGCCCGGCAGCAAGTTTCAGCAACGGCACGGTGACAGATCAAAAGTCAAACAAGCCGGACCGTTTTTAGCTGCCTCCCTTCTTTTAAAGACAGACCAAACTGCATTTCAAACCTTGCAGCCAACCGCTGAGGCCGCCCCACCCAAGGTTTCCTTTAGAAGCAGCAGGATTCTTCACTTAGGCCAGCAAGGGCGTCTGCAGCTGGCTGGCTGGCTGGGTTTCAACGAAACTCCCAGGGCCTCCTAATAATAAGCTATGACCTTGTACTTGCAGGCTTTTGACCTCTCCTGCAGTGGCCTGGGACAAAGCCCAGAGAGGTCTCCAGGCCAGGTGGGGACACACCAGCTGGTGGGGTGGGTAGACGGGGACACCCAGCATCTGCCTCAGCCCAGGTCCACTGGAGACAGAAAACACTCTGTAGGTTCCTCTGGGCCCCCTTCAAGGCCATACACCTGTCCAGTCCCACCATCCTGTGCCCCCGAGTGAGTGAGAGCTCACCTCCGGGAGGCCCACTCCTGTGAGGGGTGTTTTGGGGTGTGACTCCAGCAGGTGAGGAGCCAGGCAGGCTGACACCCTCCATCTGGGGAGCTGGCCCACTGGGATGTCCAGCACTAGACATGGAGTTTGGGATCCCACTGCAGCCATCGTCTCCCTGATTCCTGATGCTTCAGGACAGCAAGGTCCACAGGAAAGCAGGAGGCCCAGGCCATTCTCAGACTCTCATGGGAGGACCCCAGTCCCACCACTCGTACCTCAGAAGCGGCCCTCCTCTCCCAAGGTGGGAGCAAGTAGGTGCAGGTGGTCGCAGCAGGAGAGCTGTGCGCTGCTTTGATGAGGGGTAAGTCTGCAGGTTGGGGGTGACCTGCTGGAGCCAGAGACCCGGGCCCGCAGGGAGACAGCTCTTCCTGGACCAAGGGAGAGGCATTTGCAACCAGCTTTCGCCCAGCAGCTATGACTCAGGCTCTAAATGCACAGCTCTCCAGGTGTCAGATCCTGAGGCTCAGCCAGCAGCCCAAGAGCCGATGCTCCACCTGGTGAGCCCAACTTGTCTTCGTGTGCGAAGGAGGGGATCGCTGTCCCCCGACGAGGTGCTGGGGTACCCGCACCGAGGCCCTCCCTGGGCCAGGCCGGGGCTAGTGCAGCTCATTGGGGTTCTGTGGCGGCCGGTGCCGGCCCACATCTGTGTCACTGCTGCCACCGTCCAGCTCAAAGCCGCGCCCGCCCGAGGGCGTCTGGGGCATGAACTGGCGGAAGATGCTGACACTGCCGTGCCAGAAGGTGGGCTCTGGGAGCCGCCCCACCACGCTCCACGCCCGAGTCTCCGGGTCATAGGCCTCCACCACGTCGGAGAGTTCAAATGTATTGTCGTACCCCCCCGAGACATAGAGCTTCCCTCCGAGGACGGCCAGACTGCCCCCCACGTGCACCTGTGGGCCAAGGGAGATGGGTGAGTGGAGGCTGGCAGCCAGGGCACAGCAGGACCCCTGCTGCCCCTCTCCAGGTACCCAGGACCACCGGGAGGTGTGGGCTTGGTACTTCCTGGAAGTTACAGATGGGAAAACTGAGCCTCGTATGGCTGCCAGCAGCTGAGCTGGGACTTGATCCAAAGCCTGGGCTCTGAACCAGGAGGCTGGACCATCCCATCTTTCCCAAATTTGCTATAAGGAGTATGTGTAGAGTATTATGGGGAAAAATATTGTTACATTTCCTAAACGTAAGGATGTTGAGCTGTGATGTGTAAATCGTGATATTTGCCACACAGACGTTATCATGAGAGCAAGTTTGGAAATTTTAAGGAAGACAGAAAAGATGTAGGTGGGTGTAGATATGTATCTGGGACTAAGGAGATCGCCCACATGGCCAAATGCCCCTGAGCCTTCCTGGCTCCATCACACTGCCAGCCTCAGCACCTCTCTTCTCGACAAGCAGAGAGGAGAGACTCCCATCAGGCAGCAGCAGCAGTGTGGGTGTCCTGTTCAGAGCACACAGCAGGTGCTCAATAAATGTATTCTGAACTAGGAATCCTTAGGAACCAGCTGAAGGTGGGTCAGTCCCCAAGGACCTCCTCATCCTCTGTTGCCCCCTTGTTCACTCTGTTCCAGCCATGCTAGAACTCTATCCTAGGGCTTGTTCCAGGAACAAGCCAGGCACACCCTGCCCCAGGGCCTCTGCACTTACTGTCCCTCTGTGGAACACTGTTCCTCAGTATGCTCTCTGGCTCACAGCAGGTACTCCATGAATACTGGTCCAATGGATGAATTTGCTAAGATGTGTAGCACTCGGATCTTATTCAAGGTTTGTGTCTTAGTGACCATCAAGTACAAATTGAGGGTAACATCAGCTCTCTATAAGGTAACACCTGGAAAGAGCTCAACACAGGCCCCGCCCACCAGGACTGTCTCCCAAACACTTATGATGACACTTGGGCTGGAAAACAGGACCAGCCTGTGCTTCCAACGCTGGCACGTCTGCAAATTTACCTGATTCATAGATGGGATCTTGTCCCATTCGTTCTTCGTGGGGTTATATACATCCACCTCAGCAGAGTCATCCCTGCGCAGGGAAGAGGGGGGAGAGCAGGTCAGAGCGACAAGGAAGCAGCCCCAGGTGTGAAGGGCTAGAGAGGAGGGTCCTCCAGGCCCCTCTCCTTTGAGGACATAGTTGACACAAAGTAGCAGCCCACTGGCCAGTGGGACCCCATCCCTGGTTCATAGGGGCCAATTTCAGGCCCGGATAGCTATCTGGCCCAGGGGCGGGGGCCAGAACCCAGCCTTGATCCCCAAACCCAAAGATCACACCCTCGGGTGCTTAAACCTTTCCCTGCCACCCAGCACCGAAGCAGCTGCCCCTCCCCTGGCTGCAGTCACACTGGCTTCTCTCAGATCTTGAACTTATCACAGTCCTTCCCGCCCCAGGCTCCTACTCATCCTTCTGATCTGGACTCATGCTATCTCTTCAGGACAGCCTTCCAGGCTGACCAATCCAGGCCAGGTCTCCTGCCCCATAGTACACCCCCAGGTACCCCGGACTGCTCCTTGGCCTCTGCCCTCACTGCCACCATTAGCCTCCCAGCCCCATCCCATTCACTGCTGTGTCCTCAGTGCCCAGCAGGATAAACATGGTCACAGGAATGGAGACACCAGTGCTGCCCTTCCCTTTGGGGTCACGATCCTTTGGCCTTGTTTGACAGGCTCCTGATCCCTGCAATAAAAGGCCTAAAAGCACAGGCTTGAAAAGCCAAGACACTACTCCGCAAATAATAGCAATAACAATAATAATGACCACAGGTCAGGGGTTAGCAGAGGAGCCAGATAGTATCTCAGGCCTTGCAGAGCAGCGGTCTCTGTGGCTCCTCCCCAATGCTGCCATTGTGGCACAGAAGCAGCCACAGATGGACGTAAACAGAAGGACGGGCTGCATTCCACTAACACCTTACTAAGGGACACAGAAACCTGAATTTTGCATAACTTTTCACAGGTCACGAAATATCACTCTTGCTTTGATTTTTTCCTCCAACCATTTCAAAACGTAACAACCATTCTTAGCGTGCGACCCACATGATGATGGTAATAGTGGAGCATGCTAGGCTGTCCTCCCCCCACAAAGACACGCAAGCTGCAGCCGGAAGGCACGAGGCTGGACAGTGCTCCCAGCTCCTTCCTCTGTGGGAGGAGCCACCTTAAATGGGGATGGAGGCAGAGTATTGCCAGGGGAGGAAAGGAGCAGCTGGTCACTACTCACAGCCCAGGACAGCAGAGGTCGAGGGGCTGAGGCCTCCACACAGCACTGGCTGCCTCCCTGGGGAGAGCACCTTCCAGACAGGGGCTGCCCAGATAGGTAGCATTTTGAGCAGGGGTTACGTGGCTCATGAGGCACCAAAGTGCACGAATACGGTGGCTCTGGGACAAACACTAAGTGCGTCAGACCCAGGCCTTGTCCACTCTCGGGTGAGGCCAGGTCCCCACGACTCACCTGGAGGACAAATGAGCTGCCTTTCCCAACCTCCCACTCTGTCAGGCTGGGGAGGTGGGCAGAGGTGAGCCTGCCTCCCCTGGGCCCCCCATGGCTTAGGTGAACCCCTAACAGTGGGTGTGGGGGGCACCCTAATGTTTCCATGTGAGGAGTTGAGCAACAGACAAGTGACTCAGACCAGGAAGAGGAAGCTACAGGAGCCTTCCGTCTGCAGAGCAGCCCTTGGACACGTCTCGCACCACAGGGCAGAGAGGACATTCTCAAAGGCGCTCATGCTGGAACTACTGCACAGGGGCTGAAGCCAAGGTCCTGGCACTTTGGTAAGTTGTATTTATAGCCATCTCCACCCCCTCTTTGAAGACATTTACCATGACTTGGGAGAGGGAGAGCTGTGTGAAGGGTCAGATGATGTTTTTTAACAGGACCAGGAAAAGGCTGAGATTCCAAGGCTTTCTCAGAACAGATGGTAGGTTCCTGACATATGGGGATGCCTGGCTCCTTGGCCACTTGCATGGCAAGCAATGCCACCTCTGTTCCAAATGTGCTCTCCCAGAAAGCCTGGGAAGGAGCCTCAAGTCTGTAGGAGGAGCGAGGAAGGGCAGACAAAGGCCAGCGTAGCTCAGACAGTGAGGGGGGCGGTCAAGAAGCAAAGTGCACTGAGGCTCCCAATTCAAAGCTCCAGACCACAAGGGGATAGAGTGGACCGCCATTGTACCTTACTCTTCCCTCCTGGTCTTGGAGCTGTAGGCAAGCTCCAGGCCAGAGAGGGGAGCAGCAGGTACACACACCTACAAGTACGTATGTATGTATGTAAGTACGTGTACACACACACACACACACACACACACACAGCGCAGTAGGCAGGGAGCGCCTATGCTCCTGGATGCCCACTGGCCCATCGGGAGGGGGCATTTGGCTGTGACAAGTCATCAAGACCCATGGATGCAGGGTGACCATCTCCACTCCATGCTGCCAAGGCCACAGCCCAGCCCAGGGAGGCCATGATACAGTGACACCACATAGCGTCTGATGTCTTTGGTTCACACCCTGTGGCCGCCAAGTCCCCTGCCCCTCTAAGCTTCTGTTTTGTCATCTGTGAAATGGGGAGGACATTGGTGCCCATCTCATGGGACAGTCAGGGAGATCAACTGTGAAAACGCCCATGACACAGGCAGCACAGAGCTCCACACGTCTGGCACCGCAACAGGTGCTAACTATTGTCATCACTCATGCAGGGAGCTTCAGGGCTGCTCAATACCAGGTCCCTCCCTGGTCCAGAGCAGCTCTGGGATCCCTGGAGAACAGCATTCACTCAACAAGACTCATGAGCCCTCCCTGTGCCAGGCCAGGCAGGAAGAGGACAGACAGAACCTTTAGAAATGCACTGAACACACAACTGCTGCTTTAAACAGAAGGGGTGGGGCTGATCCCTCTGCCTGGCCCCTTGTACCTGGAGGCAGGTCCCCCACCCGCCTGAGTGTGCACACTCTGCTAGGTGAGTAAAGGGTCCCTCTGTCGAGGCCACATCTCCCCAAAGGCTCAAGTGTCCAAAAAGCTTTCCTCTGGTCTTTTTAAGATTCGAAATCCCTCTTAGGTAGGACACATTCCTTTTAAAAATGCCAAGTGACCAGGTGGTGCAAGTGGTTAAGTGCATTGCATGCACTCCACTGTGGCGGCCTGGAGTTTGACGGTTCGGATCCCGGGCCCGCACCGACGCACTGCTTGTCAAGCCATGCTGTGGTAGCGTCCCATATAAAGTAGAGGAAGATGGGCATGGATGTTAGCCCAGGGCCACTCTTCCTCAGCAAAAAAAGAGGTTTGGCAGGTGTTAGCTCAGGGCCGATCTTCCTCACCAAAAAAAAAAAAAAAAAGCCAAGTGAGAACAAGCCAGCCCTGGTGGTCCAGTAGTTAAGATTCGGTGCTCTCACCACCGCGGCCTGGGTTCATTTCCCAGGCAGGGAACCACACCACCCATCTGCTGGCCGTCATATGTGGCGGCTGTGTGTGATGCTGAAAGCTATGCCACCAGTGTTTCAAATGCCAACAGGGTCACCCATGGTGGACAGGTTTCAGCACAGCTTCCAGACTAAGGCAGACTAGGAAGAAGGACCTGGCCATCCACTTCTGAAAAAACTGGCCACAAAAACCCTATGAATAGCAGCAGACCATTGTCTGATATGGTGCTGGAAGGTGAGAGGATGGCACAAAAAGACCACAGGGCTCTGCTGTGCACAGGGTTGACTTGACGGCACTAAACAAATGTGAGAACAACTAGGCTTTTAGTGGGACCCTCCAGGTGGAAGTCCAGCCAAAGGGACACATTTTATTTAGCTTCTACGAAATCTCAAAAAGTTCTCTGCAAGGACCTAATTCCCTCACACTTGGGAATCTCTTGATTAGAAAAATCTGGAAGCCCACAGAAACTGCTCTAAGAAACAGGGTGGAACAAAGGCTCCAGGTCAGAAAGACCCAGCCTCAGATCCCAGCTTTGCCTCAGTTTCCTCATCTGTAAGATAGGGAGGACAGTGATGATGTACTTAGCGCGGAGCCTGATAAGAAGCACTGAATGCATGGCCTCAGGCCCGGGGACTCACCTGATGAAGTACATGAGTCCATTCAGAGTCACTGTCTTGGGGGCGAAGGACCAGGGTGGGAGCTGACCGCAGTCCACCAGCGACCACAGGTCAGTGTCAGGGTGGTAACACTGCATCACCATGGTCTCCTTGCCGGCCAGGGAGCCGACGGCATAGAGCCGGCCACGGCAGGCAGTGGTGGAGCAATTGTCCATGGGGTAGGTCATGGGCTGCAGAGCCTCCCAGGAGTCAGTGGTGTGGTCATAGCGCTCCGTGCTGTCCGCGGCCACCACGTACAACAGACCGTCCAGCACGGAGGAGCTGTGGTACTCGCGGGCCTTCAGCATGGGTGCCACCTCCGTCCACTCGTTCACACTTGAGTTGTACCTCCACACGCAGTCGTAGAGCCGGGAGCCATCGGACCCGCCTGCCGGGACGCACAACGGACAGGTCAGCCCATGCTGACCCGGGGTGAGTCACCTACCCGTGCCTCCCTGAACTTCCGAGAGGGCGTCTCCCAGGGGAGCAATGAACCTTACTGGGCTTTGATGTAAACACACGTCCTCTCTCAGCAAAGCCCAGGCCAGGGGCTCCATGCTGGGCTAAGGCAATGCATATGCTGACCACTGCCCAAGAGGACAGCCGAGCTTCATGCCATACAACCACCACCAAATCTCTGCCGGCCAAATCTCCACAAAGGCCCCCCGGGCTACCCCCACGTACACTGTCAAACCCCTCAACTGGACCAGGGCATCAGGTCTGAGTCACTTCTTCTGGGGAGCCACAGCATGTGGGTGGGGTGCACGGGGGCCTATTCACCAAATCCCAGGCGTCCTGGGCATCCCCTAACCAAGGCTGTGTCAGGACGAATTGAGAGGAAATCCACTTTACACTGCAAGCATGAGACCAACACAGCATGTAGTGCTACGAGCGGACTGCTGGGGTTCTGTTTCTTGCTTTAGGTACAGGTTACCGAGGTGTGCTTTGTTTGGAAAAACTTATCAAGCTGTACAAGTAGGATGGATACTCTTCTGTCTATATTTCTTATTTCAAAAAAAGCTAAGAAAAAGCCCCCACTGGTGCTGGCTGTAATCATAAGTTAAACAGGTCTAACCAGGACATCAGAACTGCCACAGGGTGGAGGGACCCTAAGAACTCTGGGGGCTGCAATCCCCTACCCTCTGAGGCTGGCGCCACAGGGCAGACCAGGCACGACATTCTATCTGGCTCGCTGCCCTGTGCTTTTAAAGGGAGAAAATGAAGTTCCTGTAAAGTCCACTCTGCCTGTCTTCTTCTCTCCAAAGGACCTGTGTCAAAGGCAGCTGAAGCCGGCTTTCTCACCCTGTGAAATTCCCTAGAGGCAGCTGTATGGAATGACCCAGCCACCTGTCTAAACCCAAAGGATTAGCTGCTCAGCTGAGACATTTATGGAAGCGTGTGCAGTGTTGGGGCGAGTCTGACCAGTTCTGGGAGGGAGTTCACTGGCAGGATTTTGGGGGGAGGGGGGGCCATGGCTCCCAAACAACACAGGGCCAACCTCAGACTGGATTCCGGGAGAGGCTGGACCTGGAGCTGCAGGCCAAGGAAGCTTGGTCACAAAGCTGAGCCTGCCCTTGGGCTGAGATGCTTTCCACTGTCAGCTCGGAGCCCCACGGCAACACTGGAGCATATCTCAGAGCAGGCTTTCTCCCTAACGTGCCAGGCTGACCACAGCTGCTGTGAGGACCTAGCCCTCAAGTCTTCCTGCCCAGCAACAGCCCTCCGCAGCGCCTGAATGCACGCTCGGTCCCTTTCTTTCCTTATATAGCCGTCACAGAGACCGCCCCTCCTCATCCCACAGAAAGAGGTAGCCTTCTGTTTGAGTGGGGATTTATCTTTAATAAAAAATGTGGGAGAAGCCCGAGACTGGGGCGGTCTGGGACCCGCCCAGCATGACTCGGCAGTGTTTTGGGGTTTGGGCCAACGTAACTGGAAGAAAACCTCTTAGCATGTGACTATGTTTACAGTCGCTGGGCAGGCAGCAGCCTAAACACCATGTGACCCACAGCGCACAGCCTAGGTGCAAGTCCCAGGGAACTCTGTCACCGGTGACAAAATGTATGCATCAGGAGGCCTGTGTGGCTCAGCTGTGAGAAGAAATCTCCAGGGAGGGGAGAATGGATGTCTCACAGAGCATCAGCCCTCGGCCTGTCCCTGGATCCATTAGGCAGAAAAGAAAGCCCCCATTGTGTGGGGTGAATGCCCCAGTATCTTTCAACCAAACAGCGGGGCACCTCTCAGGCAAGGAGTGGGTTCCCCAGGGCAGGCCACCCCACACGGGTAAGAGAGAGACCTACAAGCAGCTACTTGTCCCGGCTCACACAAAGAGCTCTTTTTCTAGGTTGAAAATATTAACCCTAGAACCGTACCCACTGGCCAGCTTGGGGGGAAGAGAAAGGGAAGTGGCCGCTTACAATCAGGTGCGGTTCCAGGACTCCAGGTTCCGTGTCCTGCAAACAGACAGGTGCTCCACCAGGGGCGCAGGAGGCCAACCCGAGACCCCTGCCTGGGGGGCCGGTGGGCCCAGGGTCCTCCTGAGCAGCTCCCAGCTCACTCACCTGTCACGTAGATGTCGTTGCCTAGCGCCACGATGCTGTAGCCCCCGCCCAGGTGGTCAGGGAACTCCGCCAGGTAGCGCCACTGGCCCGTCTGCGGGTTGTAGCAGTCGACGGTGACCAGCTCGTCGCAGTCCTGGTCGCAGCCGCCCACGAGCACCAGGATCTCAGCGAGGCCGGTGGAGGGGCGCGGGCGCATGCGGGGGCAGGGCCCGCGGTCGTGGCGGTCGTAGCGAGCCGCCTGGAAATCGCGCGCCTCGCGCAGCAGGCGCAGGCAGGGCGGGCAGCGCGCCACCAGGGGCTCGGCCTCGACGTGCGCCAGCAGGTAGAACCGGCGCACGAAGGGCAGGCGCACGGCCTCGAGCAGCTGCGGCCAGTGCGCGGCGCGGCGCGGCGGGTCGGCGCGTACCCAGCGCAGCGCCAGCTGGTAGGCCGCCTCCTCCTTGGGCACACACAGCCCGTCGTCGCGCAGGTAGCGCAGCAGGCGCGCCAGCGGCAGACGCTCCAGCTGCTCGGCGCCCAGCTCGCCCACGTGGCGCAGGATGAAGCGCTGCGCCGCGCTCGCCAACCCCGCGCAGCTGAAGGCCTCGGCGAAGTCCTGCATGTCCAGGCAGTTGGCCAGGTCGAGCTGCTGCTGCAGGAAGGCGCCGCACGCCTCCTTCACGGCCGGGAACTGCAGCAGGTCGGCGGCGCGCAGCAGCGGCTCGGCGTTGTCGCCGCTCACCGCCACGCGGCCCGTGTAGCTGAAGTCGAGCAGCAGCTGCAGCATGTCGGGCGGCACGCCGTGCAGGCGCACCCGCTCGGCGCGGCTCTCGCGCAGCTGCCCGGCGAACATGGCGCGGAAGTAGGGGCTGGCGGCCGCCAGCACGGCGCGGTGCGCCGGGAAGTCGCGCCCGCCCGCCGCCTCCAGGGTCACGTCTAAGAACTTGCGCTCCGCGCGGAGCTGGCTCAGGCCGCGCAGCAGGCTCAGCGCGTGCGCAGGGTCCGAGAAAGGCAGCACGGCCAGGGGCGCCGGCCGCTCCATGGCGCTTCGGCTGCGGGGCGCGGGGCCGCTACGCACGCTGCTCGGGAACGCCGCGGCCGGGGCCAGCGGGAGAGACGCTGCGGGCTGCGCGCCGCCGCTATAAATAAGGCCGGGCGCCTCGGCCTCCGGGGGGCCGGTCCGGGCGGGGGGCGGGACGCCGCCGGCACCGCCCACTTAACTCCTCCGGGTCCGGTGCCGCGGCCCAGCCGACCGCGCGGGATCGCCTCCCCCTCGCGCGCGCCCGCCCCCGCGCTCCAGGCTGAGTCACCGTCGCCCGCGCCGCCTCCCTCTCTCCGCCCTTCCGGGGCTTCCTGCGGCCTCCCGCCGACGCCCGAGCCGGGGACGCCGGGTGACAAGTGTCCTCTCCGAGGGGCAGCTCTGCCGCGCGCCGGGATCGGGGGCCTCCAGGGCGTGCCCACGACCCACCCGGGCCCGGCTGCTGAACAAAACCCGGTGGGAGCTTGGTGCCTGAAACCGAAGCCACCCCTTTCGCGCCAGGCATCCCAACTGCGTCCGCCCCCGAGCCCCAGGGCGGCTCGGTACAATGGCTTTTTTTTTTTTTTGAATTCCACTAGTTCCAAGGGTTGCTAGTTAACCCTATCACGGGACAGATTGCAAACGACAGGATTTTTACAATTCAAGACCAAAGCATGAACAAGGACAGGGTTTTTAGTGACTTTTTTTCTTGGCGTATATATAAGAAGTGACACGGGGCCAGCTGCCGGCAATCTGCTCTACTGTGTTCCTGCAGGAGTTTCAAACTGGACTAACCCGGTCACTAACCTTCGTCGGCGCACAGGCGCAGTTTTAGCTTCCGATTCATGGACTCCCAGGCTCCGGCGCTGCCCTCAGAAGCGGGCGGGCCTCCTCGCCTCCTCTTCTGGAGATGAAAATGAGAAAGACAGGAAATTGAGGGTAGGAGAAATTCATAAGAATATATTATTAAGCTGAACAAGAAGCTGAGGCTCTAGAAAATAATTCTGGGGAATTAACAGTTTTTCCCACTCCTTGAGAGGGGGCACTGGGGGCTGGGGACAGGGCCTTCAGTTCAAGGTCAGACAGGGGACTACCTCAAAAACTAGGTGATGTGACCCTTCAGAAATGTCACAGTCACTTGTGTGGTGACAGTAAAGAAAGGAATTTGTCTTATTTTGGTTCCAACAGATACAATACTAGGAGTGCACTTTTCAATGCAACTGGATGAAGAAATTCCCTCACTTGGAGACCATTTTCTTCTTTATGCTTTTCTTGGTTTTAGAAAATGCCCTTATTTCGCCTCTAGTCCTCTTGTTTTGCAGATGAAACCTGTTTTTTGTTTAATTTAATAGCCACCACCCATACCCTTTGGGCTTCTTAAAGACATTCCTGAGGGACACCTCATGCTCCCACGTGTGTCCCAGGGCAGGCCAGGCACACCAGGAGTCGCTGTCCTTTCCCAGTTCCAGCTAAATTGGCACAGCCTTTGGAGAAGGCATCTTGTTTTTATTCCCTCTCTGAAATGAGAACTGTAGGCTTTCTCTTCTCATGAATCTCTCATCATCTTGCCCTGAGAATGTATTTGGTCTAAGTTTCAGCATGGCAAGCACAGGCCTAAGTAAGAAAACATTCAGGTACCCAGGCAGCTGCCTGTTGCCCATAGATGGACTGTTCACACAGCTATTAACGGCAGAGGCAGCATTCCTGGGCCCAGGAGCCCGGCCAATAGCTTACTTGCACAGGCTTTGTGACAAGAAAGTGTGAGTAGCCAGGAAGTCAAGTCGGATGTTTGTAGGGAAAGGACTCCAGTCCCTCCGGGTCACAACTCATCCACCTTGCATAAATCAAATCTTTAAATCAATAATGTTTTTATAAGTAAGAACTGAGTCCAGTTTTGTTATTTAAACAACTCATGTTTCAGCCTTACTGTGAAGCCTTGAAGAATAATGACGTAGATATTTATTGAAACGGAAAGATGTTCATTCTAAATGCAAAGTGTCAAGCGAAAAATGTGATTACCCATAGTGTGACCCAATTTGTTATATGCGTTCATATGCCTAAAAAAATTGCGAAGGTAACATCTTCTCTAGGTGGTTAGGTTTGTCTTGTTGTTTTTGCTTGCCTGCATTTTCTTTCTGTACTAAACATATATAACTTGTGTATTAAAAAAATAATACAAGTTCAAAATAAAATTTAAAAACTCAGTCATTGAGAAAAAAGGTGTATTATTAATATATCGGACCTAACAGGCAAGCATTTGAAACCATGTGTGTATATCTAAGTCAATAAAGGAATGTGGCTGGAAAAGAAAGGATAGATTTAGACATCAGCTGTTTTTGGAATTCTGAATAACCTAGTAACCCAGGCATGCTATTTAGTTCCTTTTTTTGCTCATTAATCTCATGAGTTCAAAATGGGAATGTGAGAATTCACTTACTGCAGCGTGACAATGAGATCAATACAGTCAGCAAACTATTAATTAAGGGATTTCAATTCCTCAGATATCATCCAACACCCTGCTGTGGTAGAAACACTTTTGTTTGGTGAGGATGTTAACTCCTGCGGACAAGCAATCGTTTGGGAAAATGTTTCTATTTATAGATTACACTTCAGCCTTGAAAGTTTTATAAATTCACCTCTTCTAAAATTATGAAAATGGTCTTTGCCTAAGTAACTTCTTTCTGATAATGTAATTTAATGTGATTTAACAAATAATGGTACTATTTAATTTAAAAAATGCAAACTACTTAATTTGGATATTTGAATTCTAATTTCAGGCAGACAGGACAAGAGGTGACTAAGATCATTTTAAAAGCTGCCATTATCCTTTTTTTTTCCTTTGAGAACATTTAGGAACACATACCTTAACATTTACAGAGTCCAAAAGAGATCTTGCCTTTTTTCCCATTACACACCTTGTTTTTTCCTGAATCTGGGCTGCCTAAGATGTGGTCTGTAATGCACTTACTCACTTACTCTACATAAACTTTTTCCTTTAAGGAATGTTACAGTATTCTCTATTAAGTGCATTAATATATGTAAATGAGATACTGTAAGTGAAAACATTTAAAGTGTTTGGCACATAGCATTAGCTATTAATCTGTATATTTTACCTGTACGAACCATAACACAAGAGATTCATTTGAGGGCCGGCCCCGTGGCTTAGCGGTTAAGTGTGCCCGCTCCACTGCTGGCGGCCCGGGTTCGGATCCTGGGCGCGCACCAACACACCGCTTCTCCGGCCATGCTGAGGCCACGTCCCACATACAGCAACTAGAAGGATGTGCAACTATGACATACAACTATCTACTGGGGCTTTGGGGGAAAAAAATAAATAAATAAAATTAAAAAAAAAAAAAAGAGATTCATTTGATTCTTCTATGCATAGGTTGTTTTCCTCACTACAGTCACATGTTGCTTAACGACAGTTTTTGTCATTGTGTGAACATCATAGAGTGTACTTACACAAACCTAGATGGTACAGCCTACTCCACACCTAGGCTAGATGATACTAGTCTTATGGGACCATCATTGTAGATGTGGTCCGTCATTATGCGGCGCATGACTGTATATGAAAAGTTGACAAAACATAGTTTAGAAATTATTTATTAATGATTTAAAATTATTGACACATATATGCAGTAGTCAAGGTACTAAAAATTGAAAACAATAAGATTTTGAAAAAATTTCACTTTTTCCCTCTCCTGGAAATGGAGAAAGGCAGAAAACTGAGGGTAGGAAAAATCTGTAATATACTATTAAGCTAACAAAAAACTAAAACACCAGAAAATAATTCTGGGAAAAATAAACCTTTGGTTATATTCTTACCCACACTCAAGCGTAGAGAGTTAAAATGGGAGGCAGAAACCTTTCCTGAATGTTCCCCAGATGAATGTAGTGTAGCCAGTGAGATTTAGGAAGGTGAAGCTATATTTGGTAACCCAATTAAAATAACTACCTTCTCAAGTTACTTACTAGGAAACCATGGTGTTCTTAGTATTTTAAAACTTGTCACAACCTGTGCTACTATAGGCTCTTTTCTTCCTCTTTCCTAAGTAACTATAATCATCTGAGAATTAGCATTCAGCAGCAGGTAAAAATTTTTTTAAGAAGAAAACAAAGAAGCATGGACTCCAAGGATCTGGCTACTGTGGCTAATGCTCTTGCATTAATCATGGAATTGTAGATTTACCCCCCCCCCCAGAGCCCAGGAGTACAATATACCTGAGAAGTAAACATACTGAAGAAACCCAAGCCTGTCATACAGAGAAAATCAACTTTATCACCCCATAGCTACATAGTATGCTATTGAATTTGGGTCAGTTATTGGTGTTACAGTCCTTTTTTGAATCTAGGGAAGGAATGGTAAATATTAATTTCTAAACCTCTTCCAAAGGGTTAAATTTCTAAGGGAAATCAAAGGAAGGAGACAAAGATCCTTCTCCATGAAGTTTTCTATTTCACTGGAGTGGCAGGCAGGGAGACAAACAGAGTACACCAGGTGGTCCTGGTCACATCTGTGTACTAAGAACTATTGTTTACTAAGACTTTATTCAAGAAATATCTATTGGACACCTATTCTAAGCAAGAGTTATCACTGTCACATGACATAATCCAAGTTTGGGATTTTCTTTCCTTAGAGTGACTGAGCGGTCCAATAAAGTTTCCTGAATTCTAGGTTTGTGATCAAGTCCATTATTATTATGAACAAGTTCTTTATTTCAGTTTCTTAATGGGGAGGGGATTTAATGTTTATTATGTGAAAAATTATACCATAGGGAATAATGACGACTTGAAAAAAAATTCCCTCTTCTCTCATTTTGACTTTGCCTCTAATAATTATTCTTTTAAACTATCAGTAGGATAATATCTGTCTTGGTCCTTTTTTATTCAGGCAAAAGAAGGTGCTCCTGGTGAATGTGACTCTGGGCCACACTGGCTAACCTCAGGATGTTTGCTCTGGCCACAGTGATCAGATAACATTTCAGATCTGGCTAGATCACCTGAATGTGACAACTCTGTAAGAAGTTGTTAATGAGTTTCCACAGGCCGAGTCCAACGTCTGTTTTTATCTTACTAGTTTTTGGAAAGCACCTCAGTTTGTTATCACCTCTGGGGAGCCCTTCAATTGGGGAAGATACTGCTGAAGTAATGTTAAACAACAGTGACAACAGTAAACTATTTACTGAGGCAAGTACCACGCTAAAAATTTTGTAGCTTACGTAACAGAGGCTCAGAGAAGTATTTCTAAGATAAATCCAGTCTCTTAACCACTGAGTGTTCCCATCAGAATTATCTTAACCACCTAAATAGCAACAGCCAACCCATGTAGCACTCACGGCCTCAGAGTCTCATCTTTTAGGGGTTCTTCCACTCATCCTTTTGATTTAGTACGTAGAAAAGTCAGTTTTCTGATATGATTCTGAAATTTCACGTCACTCTTTTTTAACACAAGTTTCTTGGTCTTCAAAGCTACCAAATACGTTACTGAATCATCTGCATTTTGTTTATGGATTTTTTTTCTTTCAAATGGTTATTTAAAATGTTAAAGAATGTCAGGCCTCTTCCTGGTAATTTAATCGGAGCAGTTAATTTTCAACTAAGTATTCAGAGTCAGTCAACCTTCAACACACAAAGCTGTAAAACACTCTGCGCTCCAGCATTTCAACACTGCAAGTTCCTCAATTAAATATCAATAAACAAAGTCAATGCCAATACCTAATATTTCTATTAAGTTTTCGCCGCACCCCACAGTTAAAATCCTGGGAGGAACAGATTCAGGAAATCATTCAATTAAAGTGAGAAAACAGGGGCGGTCCCAAGGCTAGGCGAAGAGGAGAACAGCAGCGAATTTACAGCAAACGTCGTCTAAAAATTGGTAACACGGGCAGTTTTTTTAAATGCGGTAACCTGACACCCCACAGCGGATCCTACAGACACCCGAGAGCCTCGGGAGCCCTAACCATGCTCGGCCGTGGTCCCGCCGGCCCCGGACCCTCGGGGCAAGGAGCAGCCGGCGAGAAAACCCGCAGCCGCGAAAACAAGTTCGCTCCACCCGGCCGGAGGAGCGGGGAGCCGAGCCGGGGGGCGGCCGCGACGTCAGCACCCGTCGCTCCCGCCCCTGCCACCCCCACTCCCGCTCGGGCCGCGGGGACCCCGGCCCCACAAAGGGGCACGAACCCCAAGTCCCAAGGAGAAAAGGAAAGAACCGGTCGCCACCGCCCTCCGCGACCCAGGCCGCCGGCCCCGCCCCCACCCGCCGGGGCGACACCCCCGCCCCCGCGGAGACCGAGGCGCTGCCGCTGGCGTCGCCCCTCCCCCACCGCCGAGCGGGCGCGAGCCCCCGCACCTCCCCCGTTCCGGGGGCCTCAAGTCCCGGAGACACCGCCTCCGCAAACCGGGCAGCCGCCGCGGATCTCTATGGGGGTTGGAGTCCTCGAGGCGGCCTTTGTGCGGCTCAGCAGCGAAGCCGGGGACTACGACTCCCACAATGCCCCGCGCCCGCCCCCGCGCCACGCCCCCTCGCCATCAGCTTCCAGTCGCCCCCAGACTACATTTCCCGACAGCCCTCACGGCTCTCCCGCCCTCCCTCCCGAGACACGAGCCGAACTGGGCGTCAGGTTGGGGAGCCGGTCGGGTTCCCGCTCGCCGTCGCCGCCGCCCCCCGCAGCGACTCTCCCGCCGCGGGAGCTGCATCGCCAACTCTGCTCGGCCGTGGAGCCGCTGGCCCGGGACCACAGAGCCCGGGACGCGACACGCCGAGCCCCCATCACCTCCAGCCGGGGCGACCCCTCTCGGGTTCGCCCTCCCTCTGCGCGGCCGCCGGAGCCCCCAGCCCCGAGTGGCCTCGCGGCCCGGCGCCCGCATCCCGGCCCCTGCACTCCCGCAGCCGCCGCCCCTCACCCTGAACATGGACTCCGACTCCTGCGCCGCCGCCTTCCATCCGGAGGTGAGTGAGAGCTGCGCCCCGATCGTCCCCGACCACCCCCAGCCCGCTCCTGCGCTCGCGGGAGCTGGACCCCCGCGGGCCGAGCGCCGCCCTCCCCTCCCCCAGCTTTCCCTCACCGCCCCCCCGGGCGCCAACCCCGCCCCCCACTCGGGCCCGCGCCCCGTCCTCCCGCCGGCCTTCGCCCCGGCGTCCTTTCCGCAGTCGTCCGCGTCCTGCCGGCGCCCCTTCCCCTGGGTCGCCGTGCCCACCCCTCCCTGGCCTCGCGCAGCCCCGGGACCTGTCTGCGCCCCCGGCCCCTCCCCGCCGGCCTGGCTTACCCCTTCCCCGCCCCCGGGGACTCGGGCCGAGCCGCCGCCGCCCCGCGCTCCCGCCTCTCGGAGGAATCCCCCTCCCCCTCCCGGAGGGGCTCGTGGCCCCCCTTGGACGGGGACTCCGCTCCGCGCGCCCCCGCCCGCTCCCCTAATTCCCGAGGCCGGGTGGCCCGCGCCCCGCCCCCTGACTCCCGCGCAGCCCCCGCCTCCTCCGGCTCGGGGGCGCCTAGTCCTTTGGGGTTCCTCCACTGCGGGGGCCCGAGCCGTGCCCCCCACCCCCGGAGCGCTCGCCTCCCCCTCCAGGGCCCCCGCCCCCCGCCCACGGGCTCTGCTCGCCCCGCCTCTCCCCCTCCTTCCGGGGATCGGCCCTCGGTTCTCCCGGCCGGCCCCCCCGGCGCTCCCGCCGCGCCCCCTCTCCCCTCCCGAGGCCCGCCGGGTCCGGGATGCGGGTTCGGCCGCGGTGGGTGGGGGAGGGGAGGCGGCGCCGGGCGCGCTCGCCCGCCGCGCTGCTGCCTCGGGGGTTCGGGGGGCCTGCCAGCTCCGGACCCCGAATCCTGCCCGGTTTCCCGCGCCCCCTCCCTCGCGGGATGGGCCCCGCACCTTCCGGGGCCGAGTCTCGGCGGGGGGCTGCTTCCGCGGGAGACGGGAGGACGGGGAGGGGGCCGCACAGCCATCTGCTTTTCCTAAAGGCGCCCGGGCTGGGGCGGTGCGGCGGGCGGGTTGGGGGCGGCGCGGGTCCCCCCGCCCCGGGCCCAAGGGCGCCGCCGCCTTCCGTGCTGCGTCTGGGCTCATGACCCACTGCTGCACGTTCTCCGCCGAAATAAAACTTCTCCCCGAGAGTTTGAGGGCCGAGGGCAGCGGGCCTCCCATCCGGGCCGGAGCGAGGGCGGTCAGTTCTCCCCGGGGGTGGGGGCAGGATCTTTCGAGCGCAGGAGGCGCTGGGTACCGCGCTCTGTCTGGTGCTCCGCTAACCTGCGCGCCCCTCGGGGTCTCAGCGGCCGAGGGATGGGAGGAGAAGGTGGTTTGCTAGAACCGAGTTGAGAAAATAAGAAGTGGAGCCCTTGGAAGGAAACCTGCAGGCAGCACGCCGGTGCCACTCGGCCCGTCTGTCCTGGGGAGGGGCTGGGCGGGGGCGGGCCCAGGAGTCCACCCACCCTTTCCCCTCCCCCACTATCACCCTAGCAGAGCAGAGGGCCCCTAGGCTTTGGAAATGTTAGCTGAGCATGTAAGCATGGGGTGGGGGTGCGTGATAAATGCTTAAAGAAAACCTCAGTAAATATGCTAGTCGAATAAATCGAAATAAAGGACAGTTGTTTTGCTCAGTAGAAAGTAAGGGCTCTTTCTCCCTGAGCTGCTCTCCTCCTTGGGAGAAAATCCCTTCCTGTCGAGGGTGCTTCCAGATTGACTCACGGGACGCGTAAGCCAAAACCTCTATCTAGTACTTCATCTTCAACCTGCAAATAAGACTAGCAGGACTGTTTCTGGCTTGTTCCCTGAGTCGGGGAACATTTAGGCGCCTGGCCCCCTGGAGGCTGGAGCAGTGCAGGGACCAGCAGGAAGTGCCTCCTCTGGAGGAGGGAGCCCGCTAGGAGGAGGGGTGGGGGGCTGTCAGGCAGATTCAGTTCCAGGGTCCCAGGCAGAGTGAGCTCTGAAGGTAAGAAGTAACTGACTTTTGAAATCACCTAAAAGACTTTAGTTACAGCTGCAGCAAAAGTTTATTTTCAAAATGGAAAATCTGTAGCAAAAACAATAGTTACTAGAGCTCCTGATAGGGCTGCAGAAAATGGTAGATAATGTGGAAAATGCCACATGAGTACTAAGAAATAGACTTTTGTATGAGCGTTTATCTCCTAACCAGTTTCCCAGTATTCTTGGCGTAACATCATAATACCTCGTTTTTCAGCCTTCTGAAAACAGTGTTATTTCATGACCTGAACTTACCTTATCTTGTTTCTAGAGTGTCTGTAAATCTAGCGGTGTGTTTTTGAGTGGTTGATATTAAAAGGTCCAGCTTGTTTAGTTTTGTTTCTGCCGTTCCATCTACAAATGTCTGCTTTCAAACGCACTCCGTTTTCTCCCCTGCTAATAGGAATACTCCCCCAGTTTCAAGAGGCGCAGGACCGTGGAGGATTTCAACAAGTTCTGCACCTTTGTCTTGGCCTATGCTGGCTACATCCCTTATCCAAAGGAGGTAACCTTCAGCTCTTCTGAGACCTTTCTTGCTGACAGTGAAACCAAAGTGTCTGACAAGGCGGTGGGTCTGGAAGGGGTTGTGCGGAAGGATTTTAGACAATATTTTAGACAATAGTCAGAAACCTTTCTTGGAAACTTAGGCAGCCTGGGAAGGGGTTCCTAAACCTCTGATAGAAAATGCAGGCTTGTCTAGAAATGATTTAGTAAATTTTCAGAGTTTGCTTGCAAATGGTGTATTTGATATCTGCCTGCTCTTAATGGCAGTACTTACTGAGAGCTTTCTATGGACAAGTGCTGTACTTAGTCCTTATAATGAAATGAAGTAGGTGCTATTATTTATCCGTGTTTTATTTTATTTTATTTTTTTAAAATAATTTTATTTATTTATTTTTCCCCCAAAGCCCCAGTAGATAGTTGTATGTCATAGTTGCACATCTTTCTAGTTGCTGTATGTGGGATGCGGCCTCAGCATGGCCGGAGAAGCCGTGCGTCAGTGCGTGCCCAGGATCCGAACCCCGGGCCGCCAGCAGTGGAGCACGCACACTTAACCGCTAAGCCACGGGGCTGGCCCTATCCGTGTTTTAAAGATGAGGACACTGGGGCACAGAGAGGGAACTGTGGGGCACAGTGGTGGGGCCTGGAATTCACCTGGAGTTCAGGTGGTTGGCTCGGTCCACACTGCCGTGTCTGGCAAGCAGCCTCTCAGTTGCTGTGCACACCATGTTACAGAATCTTCAGAGACTTGTGGCCAAAATCCCATGTATTTAAAGGAATTTTTTTTTTTTGCTGAGAAATGGGCAGAACTGTGACGAGCGATGCCATGGTGCTCAGACTTCAGGGGCCTCATTCATATTGTATAAAGCTAAAAAGAAAGGACTCCTAGGAGGCCAAATGGCAGCATCAGCTTATTGTTCCCACTGCTGTCTAGGTGGATGATACATGCTTTGCGCCATGCAGGATGTCGCCACTATTTGCAAATAAAATGGTTGAATGGTCTGAAGGAACCATAGAATTTAGCTCACTGCTTTGGGGCAGTAATTACCTGCTTTGATTTTGGAATATTTTGGGAAGTCTCCATTTTTGAAAAAGAGTGTCAGAAAATTCTCAGAACTAACGTAAATTCACTTAATTAAAAAAATACATCCTTTGGGAAGACAGTCAGAGGGGAGATTTTACAATGGGGGAAAGATAAGAGGGTTTGAGAGGGTGTCTTCAGCACTCTTTTCACAGATATTTATTGGATATTGATTGAGTTCCTGGCTCTGGGACAGGGGCTGAGGGTTTAGCAAGGGCAGGAGGTTTTCTCCCTTGTGGGTTCACGTTCTATCTGGAAGGTCACACTAGAGTACTAACGACATTGTTCCTAAAGAATAATACTGATGAGAGCTGGGGAGCTCGAGGTCGTGGGAGCACTTGTTTGCAGGCCTCACCTGGCCAGGGCTGCCTGGGGCAGCTCTGCTCTGGGCCAGCTCTTGTTGCTGGGGTGGTCGAAATAATTGGAACCCACCACCTTTGCCTCTGTCTTTTCAGGAACTCCCTTTGAGGAGCAGCCCCAGCCCTGCCAACAGCACCGCTGGCACCATTGACAGCGACGGCTGGGACACTGGTTTCACTGACATCTCATCCTCGGTGCCCTTGCCAGTCTCTGACCGCTGCTTTGGCCACCTGCAGCCCAGCCTCCTGCAGCGAGCCAAGCCCAGTAACTTCCTGCTGGATAGAAAGAAGACTGACAAACTGAAGAAGAAGAAGAAGAGGAAGCGAAGGGACAGTGACGTGCCCGTGAAGGAGGGCTACATGGGGAGCTTAATGAAGCTGGAAGCTGCTGATCCGTATGTAGAGACCCCCACGAGTCCCACCCTGCAGGATATCCCCCAGCCCCCCGGTGACCCCTGCTCGGGCTGGGACTCCGACACGCCTTCCAGTGGATCTTGTGCCACAGTGTCACCTGATCAGGTCAAAGAAATAAAAACTGAAGGCAAACGGACTATCGTCCGGCAGGGGAAGCAGGTGGTGTTCCGGGATGAGGACAGCACCGGCAATGATGAGGACATAATGGTGGATTCAGGTGAGTGGTCCCTGAGTACGGCCACGCCGTTGGCTGGTGGTCAGAAGAGAGGTGATTATAGGCAGGAGTCTCAGCGGTCCCTTCTTTAGAGTGTGACAGCAGAATGTGCCCCACCATGTCCAGGGAGAAAGGTGCCAGAAGGTGGGTACTGAGATGTTTATTAGGAAGGGGAGATTCCATTTCCTCAAAATGGAAAAATAATGTAGCTCATAAGTAAACATCTCACGGGTAATTCCTGATACCATATGTTTCAGTGCCCTTTGTTGCGCATTTACTGCATTTTCAGAGAGGGAGGGAAGTATCGGTCTTAAGTGAAAGTGGAAATCAGTTTTGTTTGTTGAAGATCAGGTTTCACTGCGGCTCACCCGCTCTGTGCCATTGGAGAGCGGCTTTCCTGATGGAGAGAGGTCCTGATGGAGAGGGATCCTGATAGAGAGGGGTTCTGATGGAGAGGGGTCCTGATGGAGAGAAATCCTGATGGAGAGGGGTTCTGATGGGGAGGAGTCCTGATGGAGAGGGTTCCTGCTGGGAAGGGGTTCTGATGGGGAGAGGTTCTGATGGAGAGGGATCCTGATGGGGAGGGATCCTGATAGAGGGGGATCCTGATGGAGAGGGATCCTGAGAAGTTTTTTCTCTCCTCTTATGTGTTTCTCTCCTTTCAGATGATGACTCCTGGGACCTTGTCACCTGCTTCTGTATGAAGCCCTTTGCTGGCCGCCCCATGATAGAGTGTAATGAGTGCCATACTTGGATTCACCTGTCTTGTGCGAAAATCCGGAAGTCCAATGTTCCGGAAGTGTTTGTCTGCCAAAAGTGCCGGGACTCCAAGTTTGACATCCGTCGTTCCAACCGTTCCCGAATGGGCTCCCGGAAGCTGTTTCTGGACTGACTGCTGGCCAGCGAGGAGATTGGATGAGGAATCGGAAGGGACGATGGGCTTTTTGGCCCCTCTCTTAGTTGAGCACAGAACTCGCAGCTCTGGTGTGGGCAGACCCCTGCCATTCAGGTGCCTAAGCAAAAGGACAGGCTGTCCAAGGTATAAACTGTACATAGCCAGTGACTGAATAAATCCTCATTGGCCAAAGCTGCTGCTGGAGCTGTGTTCTCTGCAGTGGAGGTGGACTAAACACCCAAGTGCAGTGGGTTTGGTTCAGCTGAACATGAGGGTACGTGGTAGTTGTGAATTCTTGCTCTCATTGTTAACAAGCTCCCACCGATGGGAACAAGTGCTAGCTGTTACTCCTGCTTCCGCTGTGTTGGGGAGAGATGTTCAGTTTCCCTGGCCTGTTAATGAACAGCCATACTTGTAAGCTTTTTTCTCAAGTGTAAGTCTTTTACCATAAGTGTCTGTACAGCAACCATCAAAGCTGCCCCTACCTTCATGGTCTGCCCTCTCCCTGCCTCAGTGGCTGCCTGCTGGAGTCCTCTGGTCTTCCTCTGAGAGGAGCCCCAGGGCGCTGGGCTGGCTAAGATCCCTAAGTTTCCTTCTGTTTGTTAAAAGGGACAGTATGTGGCCACTTCTCTGTGGAAAGGGGGTTGGTTGGGGGATGGAGGTGGCCCATGTTCATAACTCAGTTTCCTGTTTTGCACGATGTAAAAAACCTGTCTTTTTGCACGATATAGCCAAAAGTATTGACAGATTTCTGCCTGGGTGCCCTTTCTCTCTAGTTGGCATTTGAGGTCCTGGGGGTGCCCAGGCAAGCTGTTTTCAAGCGAGGGGGCACTTACATTCTCTCTTTGTCTCTTCCCCTCACCTTGTTCCAGTAGCAGCATAAAGGTTAGGCAATCACTGGGGAATGGCGTTCCTCTACATAATGGGGTAAAGAAAAATTAGGAAATAGGACTCTCTCACCAGTGATTCTTAGTATGTTCTCATACAGGCTGGCCTGCTGGTTCCACGGGGCAAGGTTAGGATGTGAAGCCTTTTTCTTGGTTTGAATTGGTGAGTGAGTGATCCAGTAACACTGGCCTCTAGGAATCTACCATTGAACTGTGCAGAGTTTCCTAGATCTGAACTAGGACCCTGGACTGGGGAGACCCCTGCGTGGGCCAGCTCTGGAGGCTTCTGAAGTCCCTGCAGGGCCTGCTCGAGGGCAGTGTGCCCCGGGACACTGGTGGTTCTGGAGCTCAGAGGGAGAGGAGGCCTTCAGCTGTCTCTGAAATTGATATTACTTTTTAGCAGTTCAAATACTTGTTCTCAAAAATGTTTTTTTTGTAAATCGATGGGTGTGTTTTCATAAACGTTCTTGTAAAGCATGAAAAGGGGAAAATGCCCAAGTTAGTCATATTTATTTACAGCAGGATGGACCCCCAGTCTCTCTGCTGGAGGCTTCTCCCCGGGACTCCCTTGTGTGGGACCACCAGGCTTCTCAGTCCACGTTCTCTCACTGAAACACCAAGGGGGTTGAACCGAATTTGGCTAATTGGAGCCCATATTTTGTCCTAGTATCTTTCATGCTTGACCAGCGAACTGCCTTTTTTTGTTTTGTTTTTAATTCTGTGCTTATATTAAGAGAAAAATAGAAATAGTTTCTGAAACCCAGTTTATTGTGAAGATCCCCAAGGGAGAAGTTCTGCTGTAGAGAAAAATAGTAAGAAGCTGGCTTAGAAACAACCTTCTCCCCAGACAACTGTCTGGCTCTGACTAGGGCAAACGTCCAGGAAAAGTTGGAGAGGAATTTGCCAAAGATCTGCCCCATGACATTGCCTGTCTGGTGTCTTCACCATGAGAATAGCCAAAGTTCCAAAGTGTTTTTCTTCTTTTTAAAAAAAAACTCCACAAAGTTTTAAAAGTGCATTTAAGAGTATGTGTGGTTTTAGAGTGGAACTGCCAGCCCTGGCAACTGTTGTATTGCTCTTAGAAGGTGCAATGCCTGGTGATGCCTCTGGAAGGCATTTGATAATCATCTCGATTTGTTTCCTACATTTTCTTTTTGTTCTTTTAACAGATCTATCCCTGTGGGTGGTGTCTAAGAAGTCAGGACACCTTGGTTTTTGTGTTAGATTGAGCTGGGCAGCTGCAATCAGCTTTATGCAAATTAGGCCTGGCCCATCTAGGGACTCCTGGTTGGTGGCTAATGAAGTGAGGGGAGGGAAAGATGTCACCCCAAAAGTAGGCCCCTCCCATTGGCTTTGGCCCGGCCAGACACTTAACATCGTTTACATGGTTCTGTGTAATTATAAAGTTTATGTGTATAAAGCGAAGCTGTTTCTGTGAAACTGTATATTTTGTAAATAAATATATTGCTACTTTGAGGTTCATGTCTGGCTTCAGGTGTTGGTGCTCTGTGCTGAGGGACAATTGTGTGTTTCTCCCTTTATCATCTCCCCCAAACCATGACTACATGAAGACTTGGGAAGTTAAAGTCTTAAGTTTGGTTTAGCAGGATGAAAAATGCCCACAGCCCTTATTATACCTTTCCAGTTAATTCTCCAGAAACAAATCACAGTATGAATAGACAGGAATAGCTTTCCCAATTTCTTCATCGAATTGTGGATTTTTTTTTTTTAAAGATTTTATTTATTTATTTATTTTCCCCCCAAAGCCCCAGTAGATAGTTGTATGTCATAGCTGCACATCCTTCTAGTTGCT